AATTTAAATCCGACTATAACTTCAAAACTACTACGAATTTTACAGTTTTCTTGACGCCAATCGATCCCCGGAACATTTTACATAGGTTTACGTCAAAATGTTATGTCATTGAGACACAGTTTTGCCGCAATTTACAAAATAAAAAAAACGAAAAAATTGTTAACACCCCCCCCTTAAAATCTAGTGTTTTTGAACATGTCTCAGATTCRATTTAAACCTATCTTATCCGATAGATTTTGACCCGCTGATTACGAATTTGCCAAGTATTTTGAGCTATCTCCTTTAGTTTCGCCGTAATCGGCGTTTAAAAATTCAAATTTTTTGCGAGATATCGACTTGGCTTTGGCCTCAGTCGATAGATTTTCTTACGGTGATTACGATGGAGTTGAGCTTTTTGCTCTAAGTCTTATAGTTTGGCCGTAATCGCCGTTCAAAAAGTAAAAATTGTCAAAATTGTGAAATTTTAAACGCGTTTTTCTACGAAACTATAAGACTTAGAGCAAAAAGCTAAAAAGTAGCTTAAAATTATCTATTTATTGGCGCAAACCGGAAGTCGCTCCGGGTTATGGTTCCGGGTACAGAGCCATTTTTAGTTTTTTTCATAAAAAATTAATATCTCAAAAACTATGAGTCCTAGGTCAGAATGGTTTATACAGGCGTATTCTTCAGTTAATTTTACATATAGTACTAGTTTTATATAAGAATAAAAAAATTTGATTTTTTGGTTAAAATCGGATATTTCTAGCCTTTATTACTCAATATATCAAAAACTATGCATCGTAGAGTATTTTAACTTGTTGCATCGTATTCAGCGCGTAATCTTAAGTCTAGAAAACTATATTTCAAGGGTTTTTAAGGTAAATTGACTATTTTTACGATTTCAGTACCGTTCACCTTCAAAAACTCGAAAAATTCGTATTTTTTTAAACTTGACCAAATAACGTTTAATGCATTTTTTTTGAGTCTTTAGGACCTCTAAAAATGTAAAAAAAACGTTATATGGATCAATTATAAAGTAAAAAAAAAATGTTGATTTTTGTCAAGGTCAGTGTCCTACGATAAATAGTTATCGAGAAAATTTCTGATAAAGTCAAAAATATAGAAAATATAAATTCGACTATAAATTCAAAACACACCAATCTGATATAATCGTTTTTTATTTTTAACAAAACATCAGTCAAAGGTTTTTTATAAAACCATGATTTCCTGTCGACACATAAAAAACTCAATGCTTCAAAAATAAAGTGAATCAAAGAAGCTTGAAAAATATTTTAGTATTTTTGTTTGTTTTCTGGTAGAATTAGTGTTTATTTTAATATTTTTGTGTCTTTATTACTTTTATTTCTCCAGTTTTTAATGTTGTCCTAACAAGGAAATTAATAATTGTTTTAATTGCTCCAAAATATCAGCCTTTTTAATGTTTTTTTTACAAAATTTCCGCCCATGGGAGCCTTACCTATGGCGTCATGCAGACAGGGTATGCTCGTGAGGTTGCAGATCCTTTTCGCTGCAAGAAAACACTTTAGTACGTGACCACTTGCCGAAATCCAACTGACTCGAGAAAGGATAATAAAAAGGGACGCATTCGCATTTCGCGTACAGATACTTCGCTTCGCATTCAGTCAAGCAGTTCGTGTCCGAATAAAATTTGAAATATCTCAGCTTAACATCATCGTAATAAGCGCACTGTCTTTGTTGGATGGAAAGCTTCTCGAAGTCGGAACTGCAAACGATCTTACTTGCTGAAACTTGTAAATAGGACTGCCTTCCAGCCGAAACGATCTTATAGATCGATCCAGAACCAGGATAATCCCAAGCACTGTGCACCATTACCTAAGGATTCAATTAGAACCGTTTCTACACCGATCACCGATCTACTTTTAATCCAGATGAATGCAGAGTCGAGTATTGGACCGCCTGGATATCCGGATCCAGAAGCAGCTTCAAGCCGGCGTTGAAGCCGTTGAAGGGGGTGTAGACGGGGCGACGGCGCTCGGAAAAACGAAACACACTGAGAAAATCACAATTTTCACAATTTTCCACCAACTCACTTGATGTATTCTCGAAGGTAATTAAACGAGCAGCAATTGCCGTCGGTGGTTAGAGTTTCCTGGAAAAGCCTCTCGCAAGGTACCGTTTCGAACTCCCATTCGCATTTGCGAATCATTTCGTTGCAAGATTGCGAGATTTTTTTCATAACAACTCCAATGTCATTGTAATTGTTTGTGACCAAAACCTTGTGTAAGACCATCAACTCCGACATGTTGTACACTTTTCTGTCAATTGCAACGAAAGCCAGAAGCTGGGGGAAAGCCCGACGGACGATCTCCACGTCCTCTTCGCGCATAGCCCTCCAAAAATCACTCTTCATTCATTAATGGCCAAAAACAGTTAATACACCAAAAATTTACACTTTTTATTATTTTTTTTAACCAAGGTTTATGTCCAAAGCTTAAAATACCCTGTATATTAAAATTTTTGTAGGCTGATTTCTTAGGTTAAGATAGTAAAAGTTCCTATAGACCTATGGCCGAAAATGCCTCCAAAAGAAGCTAACTTGAAAAACTCACTACGAGGCCAAGGGTGCGTCATACAAAAATAACAAAAAAAAAACATTTTTCATTTCAACAAAAAGTCGTATTCTGTTGGAAAAAAATTCGAAAAACGTTTCCAAAACCAAAATTTTTCTTAAACGGTTACTGAAATAATTGAAACAAAAATTTTTGCACGTCATTTTAAGAGGGTTTTAACTCCTTTAGGAAGGAAGAATTTTCGGACATAGATTCAAAAGCTTTTTTTTACTTTTTTATCAAGGTTTATGTGCAAATCTTAATACAGGTGTGTCCAAAAATAGTATTAAAATTTTTTGTAGGCTGATTCCTTAGGTTAAGATAGTAAAACTTCCTATAGACCTATGTCCGGAAATGCCTCCGAAAGAAGCTAACTTGCCCTTCAAAAACTCACTATGAGGCCAAGAGTGCGTCGTACAAAAATAACAAAAAAAAACATTTTTCATTTCAACAAAAAGTCGTATTCTGTTGGAAAAAAATTCGAAAAACGTTTCCAAAACCAAAATTTTTCTTAAACGGTTACTGAAATAATTGAAACAAAAATTTTTGCACGTCATTTTAAGAGGGTTTTAACTCCTTTAGGAAGGAAGAATTTTCGGACATAGATTCAAAAGCTTTTTTTTACTTTTTTATCAAGGTTTATGTGCAAATCTTAATACAGGTGTGTCCAAAAATAGTATTAAAATTTTTTGTAGGCTGATTCCTTAGGTTAAGATAGTAAAACTTCCTATAGACCTATGTCCGGAAATGCCTCCGAAAGAAGCTAACTTGCCCTTCAAAAACTCACTATGAGGCCAAGAGTGCGTCGTACAAAAATAACAAAAAAAAACATTTTTCATTTCAACAAAAAGTCGTATTCTGTTGGAAAAAAATTCGAAAAACGTTTCCAAAACCAAAATTTTTCTTAAACGGTTACTGAAATAATTGAAACAAAAATTTTTGCACGTCATTTTAAGAGGGTTTTAACTCCTTTAGGAAGGAAGAATTTTCGGACATAGATTCAAAAGCTTTTTTTTACTTTTTTATCAAGGTTTATGTGCAAATCTTAATACAGGTGTGTCCAAAAATAGTATTAAAATTTTTTGTAGGCTGATTCCTTAGGTTAAGATAGTAAAAGTTCCTATAGACCTATGGCCGGAAATGCCTCCAAAAGAAGCTAACTTACCTTGAAAAACTCACTACGAGGCCAAGGGTGCGTCATACAAAAATAAAATAAAAACATTATTCAACAAAAAGTTGTATTCTGTTGGAAAAAATTTCAAAAAACGTTTCCAAAACCAAAATTTTTCTTGAACGGTTACTGAAATAAATACTGAAAAAATTTTTGCACGTCATTTTAAGAGAGCTTTAACTCCCTTAGAAAGGAAGAATTTTCGGACATAGATTCAAAAATTTTTTGTTGCTTATAGTGACCAAAAAAAATTTTAACGTATTTTTAAGACACTCTGTATAAAAAATCTGTTAACTTACTTAATCGGAGAGACCGTTAACTCTGGAATTATAGCTGTACAAATTTTTGGGATTTAACCGAAATTGTCTGGAATTATTTGAAAATATTTGGAATTGTTCAAATTATCCTTAGATTGTTTGAAATTTATGGAATCATTTGTAAATTACTAGAATACCTATACTTGAAATTACTGGAATAATTTTTCAAATTACTAGAATAAATTTTTTTGAAAAATCGAAGATAATTTCTTTTGAAAATTACGTTGAATTTCTTAGAACTAGGTATCAAAATTAATTTGGAATTATAGAAATTACTTTAGAATTAAAAATTAATTTTAAATTACACGAATTAATTTGGAATTATAAAAATTATATAGAAAATTAAAAACTACAGAAACTAATTTAAAATTATAGAAATCAATTCGAAAACAATGGAATTATGACGACGGATTATTGGACTTTTGGTGGAATTTTCTAGAATTATTTTAAACTTTTGTGAATTACTGGAATTCTTTTTGAAATTACTGAAATAATTCTTTTTAAATAACGGAGGATAATTTCTCTTGAAAATTACATTGAATTTGGAATTACAGAAATTAATTTAGAATTATAAGAATTCGTTTTGGTGAAATTTTTCAGAATGACTGAAATTTATGTAAATAAAAGAGATTTTTCTGAAATTACTGGAATTATTTTTTTTGAATAATCGGAGATAAATTTTTTGAATATGACGTTGCGTTTCTTAAAAACACTATCGGAATTAATTTGAAATTACAAAAATTACTTTAGAAATAAAAAAAATACGTTTAAATTACAGGGATTAATTTAAAATTATAGAAATCAATTCGAAAACAATGGAATGGACGACAAACTTTTAGTGGAATTTTTTAGAATTATTTTAAACTTTTGTGAATTACTGGAATTCTTTTTGAAATTACTGAAATAATTCTTTTTAAATAATCGAAGATAAATTCTTTTCAAAATTACATTAAATTTGGAATTACAGAAATTAATTTAGAATTATATGAATTAATTTTGGTAGAATTTTTCAGAATTACTGAAATTTATTGCAAATAACAGAGAATTCTCTGAAGTTAATGGATTTTTTTATCGTTAATATTTTTTTTATTGGAAAAAATTTGTTTTCAATAATTCGTTGAATTTCTTAGAACTGTCAGAATTGATTCGGAATTATTATCTCGAAAATTAAGATAGAAAAAATAAGTTTAAATTACAGGAATTAATTTGAAATTATAAAAATCAATTTGAAAACAATAGAATTACGATGGATTATTGGCATTTTGGTGGAGTTTTTTAGAATTACTTTAAACGTTTGTGACTTATTTGAGTTACTGAAATTTATTGTAAATAACAGAAATTTTTCTGAAGTTACTGTTTTTTTTTTAATTGTCGAAAATAATTTTTCTTCAATATTACGTTGGATCTCTTAGAATTGTCAGAATTAATTCGGAATTACAGGAATTATCTCGAAAATTAAGTTTGAATTACGGAAATTAAGTTAGAATGATTCCATAGAGAATTATGAAAGTTTATTGAAATTACTGGAATTTTAGTGGAATTTTTTTGGAATTAATGAAGTTTAGGTGAATGTTTTTTAGAATTAGAATAAGTTGGACATACACATTTTTTCAAATCAACGGCTTTTCGACTTAATCGTGTCTTGTAATATTTCTTTAATCACACTAAGGTAGATTATTTTATTCTATTTAAAAAAAAAATACAAATTTTTCAGATATTTTGAATCTTTTTTTCGTAGTGAAAATTTTTGGTCCTTCAACTACGCTTCCGTTTTACTCACAACTTTCCCATAAACTCCTCCAAACGGTCAGCCATAATCCTGTTAATATTGCAAATGGTAACCGCCGGGAAGGGCACCGCAGTGTTGGGTGCAAAATCCGTAAGAATCGACGTCCTCGTGGGGTTACTCGTGTATCGATTCCAGAAGAGCACCGTCATGTACCCAGCCCCTCCAAGCCCGGTCAGTACCACAAAAACCCAAAAAATCCTTCACTCGCTCCAACACACGTCCAATGCATCATTCATACTCACTTTTCGTAGATGACGATGTCTCTGCGGACGGCATACCTCAGACCATGGATGCTGGTGTTCTCAGCGAAGTCTTTGAACGTTTCGGAGACGATAGACGTAAAGTCTTTTCTATTTTTTCGTCCATCAATCATCGTCAGTTTGTTATTCTACGACAGTCTCCAACATTCTTTTCCAATAAAAATTCTGCAATTTCCCGGTGTGGAAATTAGGAGCGGAAGTGGGTTCATATAAAATTTATGTTTGTGTGTTTACGCTGTGTATTTAATTGGAAAACTGAATTATTGTAAACACGTCGACGGGTTTTATTGAACGATAATAAAAGGGGTGACCTGGACGAGGTCTTCACACAACACAAGAGAAATAAAACGAATTGGGGTGAGGGATTTTAATAACAAGGACCGGAAAGGGGCCTCAAGGGTTTTATTCGCCTTTTTACCTTACAAAGTATATTTTTCCTAGACATTAATTTTATTTGGTGATTTTTTTCGTCTTAATATTTTCAAAAGTTGTTTCGTAAAACACTCTTTCTAGTAACTTTAATTTTATAAGGATGATAAATTTACAATCACGATTTTTACTTTTATTAAGATTAAATTTGCAATAAAACAATAACAACCCAATAATCAAATGAACAAGCAAGTAAATACAAAGATAACTGATATTAATCTCCCATTTATTGTGTTTTCACAACATTCAAAGGTGCAATAAATCAATCTGGTGACTTTTGATTTTACCAGCTTTAGATTGGCATGAGACGCCATGAGTGTTGTCAAAAATTCAAAATACGGATGGTTTATTTCACACGAAACTTTAATAAAAGATGTTTACAAGAACGTTAATTGTTCCCAAACAAATTACCAATTAAAATCGAAACTATTTGACATATTTACACCCTATAAAACGCCCAAGAATAGAAAACTCAAGCTTAAAGAAAACGGCGAAGAAAACTCATTTGAAACAGAGGTATTTTTGAATTAAATAGAAACTAGGACGAGCTTTTAATGATAATTCAAGGTGCGTCATGTGGAAGAATTCTACAAGCTTTTTTATAGCGAAATCAAACAAGTTTTTAATGACTTGGAATGTGAGGTTAGGAATGACGAAGCTGTCAACACGGCGACTGAAATTTACGAAATTTCGGGGAAAAACTTGAAGACAGGTTTGTACGGCAGTAACAATGAAAGCCCCGTTGTCAGAACCATCGATGGTGCTCAATTTTTATTCCCCACAAACTGTACTTTTTACGCAAAAGATGTCTCAGATATGTCTCAATACCTGGACCAGAAATACGATTTGATCCTTCTTGACCCGCCCTGGTGGAACAAATACATTCGTCGAAAACGCAAACACACCGAACACGGCTACGACATGATGTTTAACGACGATTTAAAGAACCTTCCCCTGGAGAATCACTTGAAAAATGATGCTTTAATCGTGGTTTGGTGCACCAATTCCCCGCAACATTTAGCCGCGCTGCGCGAGGAGATCTTCCCCAAGTGGGGCGTGAAATACGTCGCCAAGTGGTATTGGGTGAAAGTGACGAAATCGGGGATTCCCGTTTGTCAGTTTGCGCCCCCGCCGCGCAAACAACCCTTTGAACAAATTATTTTTGCCGCTGTGGAATCGCGGAGTTTGCCAAACCCGCCCGATGGTAAACTAGTAGCAAGTGTGCCGAGTGCACTGCATTCACATAAGCCCCCATTGTGCCGTTAGTTTGCCCAACTTTGCTTTATTTCGCACTAATTGAGAGTTTCAGAATTGTTGCAACCTTTTTTGCCCCCGAGCCCCAATTGTTTGGAAGTTTTTGCTCGTTATTTGCTACCGAATTGGACGAGTTACGGAAGGGAAGTTTTGCGATTACAACATGAAAGTCTGTATGAAATGAGTGAGTAATAATTTATTTAATGATGACCGTTTGTTATTTTTGATTGCGGGCGATATCCGTGAGGATTCATCGTTTGCCATCGCCAGAAATCGGCACCTGTAATCAAACAAATGAACAACAATTAAAAACAAAAACGCAACGTTCGTACACATTTCCTCCAAAGTGTATTTCGTCCTCCATCCCAACTCCTTTTCGGCCAATTCGGCATTCGCGTACATTACAGAAATGTCACCCTCGCGTCGTTCGACTATTTTGTAAGGGACGACAGTTCCGGTGACTTTTTCGAACGTTTGGACGAGTTGCAAGACCGAAATGCCCTTCCCTGTGCCTAAATTGTAGACCTAAAAATAACAAAATTAGAGATGGTTTCATTCAAAGCTCGGCTTTGCCTCGCCTTGTAGTTTTGGTGTGACCGTTTGAGCAAATTCAGGGCTGCGACGTGACCACTCGCCAGGTCCATGACGTGGATGTAGTCTCTGATCCCTTCAACACTGTTTAATTATCACAGGTCAACATGAATCTGGAGTTTTAATTTTTTATAGTGTGTCGTGAAGTGAAATAACATGTTATATCAATATATTTTTTATTTTTTTTTGTATCACCCACAGTTTTCTAAATACAGGCTGTGCCAGAACTCGCCCCCCAGACAAAGAAGATATTATATATATTCAAATAAAATAGTATACAAGCCTGGAGGTAATGACACATTTTCCATCTTGCATTTAATCTACTATTACCATTATTATGTTTTCGCATTCTTCTCAAATCAGCAAAGAAGGATATCTCAATAAAAAAATATTCACAAGACGGCAATTTCCCATAATTTTGAAAAAAAATTAAAAATTGAGAATTTTTTTTATCGAACAAAAGAAGTTTTTGCTTTCCTAATTAATGTTTTAGGCCTAAATTACAAGATTTTAATTTTTTATCGGACAAAAGGAGTTTTTGTTCTTTTTATTTTTTTAAAATGTGCATAAAACATTGAGTTGGGTTTGAAAAAAGCAAGTTTTTTGAAAACAATTGAAACACAGGATGTGTTCAGAACTCACACTCCAGAGAAATATTTCAAGTAAGATAAGATACCAGGAAAAGATACATGCAAAAAAATGTTAAAAAAATTCTCTGTCAAAAAATTTTGACATTTATTTTTTTAACGTTTGACATTTTTTATGTCTATTTAATAATACTGTTGACCTAGTATATGTTTTTTTTATAATTATTTAGTAAAGGTACAAAAATTTTGCCAATAAAAGCCACAAATAACATTAAACAGAGTTACAGTTTAAGATACAGCTTCCTTGTTTTCTCTTCTAATAGCCTACTGTAGCAGAAAAACTTGGAAAATTATTTTTCCAACAGAAATAAATAGAGTCAAAGTGCAAAATTTAAACTCTCATAACTTTGAAATTTTTATAAATAGATTTTTTTAACATTTTTTCTCTTACCCTATATGGCATTTTTTTTTAAGAAAAAGGATCAATCTTGGTGTTATTAAAGAAAGACACGGATTAAGTCGAGGAGCCGTTAACTTGAAAAAAATGTGTACAACTAATTCTAATTCCAAAAAAAAATCCATCTAAATTCTAGTAATTCAAAAAAAAAAAAAATTCTACCGAAATTCCAGAAATCCCAATAAACAATCATAATTCTATCTATATGGAATTATGGGAATGAATTCTGGTAATTCCAACTTGATTTCCGTAATTCAAACTTAATTTTCGAGATTCGAAAATAATTCCTGTACCTAATTCGGAATTAAGAAATTCTAAGTAATATTGAAAAGAAATTATTTCCGATAATAAAAAAAAGAATTCCAGAAAAGCTCTGTTATTTACAATACATTTCAATAACTTTAAAAAATTCCACCAACATTAATACCTATAATGCCAAATTCAAGGTAATTAAAAAAATATATTTTCGATTATTCCAAAAAGAATTAATTCCAGTAATTTACAAAAAATTAAAATAATTCTAATAAATTTTAATTTTAATATTTTTTTTTTCGGAGTGATTTCAATAATTCCAAATTAATACCTGTAATTTAAACTTATTTTTTTAATTCTAAAGTGTTTATAAAATTATTTGTCCAACGGAAATAAATAGTCAAGGTGAAAAATTTAAACTTTCGTAACTTCGAAATTTTTATAGATAGAATTTTTTTAACATTTTTTCCATGTTCCTCGTATTATTTTTCTCTGGGGCGCAAGTTCTGAAACAGCCTGTATGCGCCTAGTTAACATATTCACCCAAAATAATTCAAACCCCAGACAAAAAGTTAAATTTTGTCGACCCATATTATTTTTGTGTTATTACCTGTCCCATCATCCGTGTTGTAATCCCCGCCAAAGATGGTTAAAACCGGTAACCGCTTCATGGCCACTTGCGATATCAACGGCATGATATTGGCGAAGGGCTTGATGGGGTCCTCGCCGATCAGGCCCGACGAGTGGGCCCCCAAAGGGTTGAAATATCGCAGAGCGATGATGTTCCACTTGTTGTTGGCGTGTGTGATGTCTTGGAGCATTTCCTCGATAAAATATTTGGTTTTCCCGTAGACATTAGTGATGTTGCGCCCCACTGAATGTTGTTCTGTTATGGGGAGATAAGTGGGTTCGCCATAGACGGTGCAGGAACTGGAGAAGACTAGTTGGTAGATGTCGAATTGTTCCATGATTTCGAGCAGGTTGAGCATGCCGATGAGGTTGTTCTTGTAGTAGAGGAGAGGGTATTCCATCGACTCGCCGACGGATTTGATCGCAGCGAAGTGGATCACGCAGTCGATTTTGTGCTATTTTTTTATTTGATTTTTGCAATAACACAGGGCGACAAAAAAGTCATGTTGTCACAATTTGATAAATTATACAAGGTGATTCACGAGGAATAATGAGCCTGACCAAATTCTCGATGCAACCACCATTACTTTTCGCAAGTTATTTTGCGACAACTGTAATGTTGGTTGCATCGAAAATTTGGTCAGGCGCATTATTCCTCGTCCACACACTTTGAACTAAATATTTTTTTTCTAATTTAAATTATTTTAAAATACTTTTTAAATTTAAAAAATCATTACTCAATAACTATTAGGACGACTTCCTTCAAATAAAGACCATTCTAAAGGAATGGACTTGCCCTTTGGAATGATATGCAATTTGAAATTGAATATTGGCGAACTTTTCTTCGAACAGCGTTCGAAGTAAATAGAAATAATCTAAGAAAAACTCTACGAGTATTTTTTTTTTCATCATCACCATTGTGTAAAGCATCTTTTCCTTATTAGTTGAAATCCGAATTTTTAAAAGTATACACCGAGTAGATAGTTTTCAAGATATGATTTTTTTAAGTTAAGGTTTGCTATCACTTTCTGGTGATGTTGACTGCTATAAGTCACCTGATTTATTTTGCTTCTTGTGCAACTGTTATCAAAACGACTACTACCTACAAGCTAACTGAAGCTAATCGTAGAATATACCAACAAAATAAATCAGGTGACTTTTTGCATTTAACATCACTCGAAAGTGGTGAGAAAAAAATGCTGAAAACATTTTCAAAAAGAAGTTCAGAAAGCTAGAACAAAGTGAATAAGTCGAAATCTGAATGGAAAGTGATTTGATTTGAAAAAGATTTGCCCTTATATTTAAGGCTAGTGCCTTAAACTTCTAGATCCTCATTGCTCAATGTGGTCATTTTTAGAACAAAAAAAGCTCTTTATTTGCTTTAATTAGTACGCAGGTACTCTTTGTTTGTTTTAAGTAAAGAAACAGTTTTTGTTTATTTTAATTAGAACAAAGAAGGTGCAATTGACCATTTTTAAGCAAAAGAAGAGTTAAAACAAAACAAAATTTTCTCCTATATGGCGCAATGCTTGATTAGCAAACCTTAACTTCAAAAAATCATATCTTGAAAACTATTCGGTGTATTTATATAGTGGATCACGAGTTGGGGACAAATAAAAAAAATTTCTATTATATAACTATTGTGAAATGTCATTTTAGTTGTCAAATGTGTTTAATTTTATCACTAGTTATAAAATATGACATTATTTTATCACTAGTGTTAAAAAGTGTGACATAAAGAAAACAAATAACACTATTTTTTTAGCAACGCCACGAATTCGAATTTGATGCCTATGCTTTTCACAACCAAATTGGAAAAAATCTTATTATAAAACACGATTCAAAATGGCTGCTTTTTCCACACGTCTAATTAAAAACACGCCCATTTTGCAACTTGTTTTTTTTAAACATTTTTTTAGTAACATTTTTTAACTTTTTTATCATAGACGATTTTGATTGAGAAAAACGAAATTTAAAACTTTTATTTCTTTAATTTTTTTTCTATTCATTATTGTTTTTTGAATGTATTTTGAAAGAGTTTTTATTTTATGTTTTGATTTCCAAGTGCTACATTTTTCTTAATATTTATTAATTCATGTAATTTACAGATTTGTGTTATTTTATAATTTATAATTGATTATTTATAATTTCCGTTAGAAATAATATAGTTTTATGTTCCTATTTTGTATAATATGTTTTTGTGTTTGTAATAAAATATGTATTTTTAAACTGCGATGAGATGCCCCCCTCTAAAAAATTTGTAACGACGCCCATGGCCCTGATGATGAAATAATAAAATTTCGAAACGTCGGCTATTTAAGGAAAAGTTTTTTATTTGTCCTCAACTCGTGATCCACTATACAGGATGCGCCAGAACTCGCGCCCCAGAGAAACATTTTAAGTAACAGGAACATGAAAAAAATGTTTAAAAAATTCTATCTGTCAAAAAATTTTGACATTAGTTTTTTGACATTTGACATTTTTTTATATCTATTTAATGATACTGATGATCTTGTATATATTTTTTTACAATTATTTAGTAAAGGGACAAAAATTTTGCCAATAAAAGCCACAAATAACATTGAACAGAGTTACAATTTAGGATACAGCTTCCTTGTTTCCTCTTTTAATGGCCTATATCAAAAAACTTGAAAAATTATTTTTCCAACAGAAATAAATAGAGTCAAAGTGCAAAATTTAAACCCTCATAACTTCGAAATTTTTATAGATAAATTTTTTTTAACAATTTTATGTTCCTAGTATCTTACCTTATATGGCATTTTTCTCTGGGGCGCGAGTTCTGGCGCATCCTGTGTAAAGAAATGATGCAGGACGTTAACACAACTAATAATATTCGGTATATTCTTTTAAAAATTTGGATTTCAACTAATAAAAAGATACTCTACACGATGGTGATGATGAAAAAATAAATTTAAAAATTAAATTTTTTTCTCTTAGATTATCTCGATGTTCTTCGAACTTCCTCGAAAAGTTGGCAAATATTAAATTTCAAATTTCATTTAATCCTAAAGCGCAAGTATAGTCTTTATTTGAAGGAAATCAGCTTAATAGTTATTGAGTGATGATTTTTTGAAGTTAAAGTATTTTAAATTCATTCAAATTTGAAAAAAAATATTTAGTTCGAAGTGTGTGGACTTTTTGAAATTTTCTTTAGTGCATTTGAATTGTCTCACTGAGACGAACAAAATGATATATAATTTGTCAAGTTGTGACGACATGACTTTTTTTGGTCGCCCTGTGTAATTTACTCTTACCTTTGCGAAAATGTGTGCAAGGGCGCTTTTGTCCAACAAGTCGCATTCATAAAAGGTGATGGGTTTGCCGGTGATCGTTTCGACTCGTTTCAAAGCCACCGAGCCTCCAGCAGAATCGTTGACACTGTTGACGAAATTGTCGACGACGATGACTTCGTAACCCGCGTTCAGGAGTTCCACGATGCAATGGCTGCCGATGTAACCGGCGCCCCCGGTCACAAACACGGTAGACACGTGCGACATCCTGGAAGAGATTTTGAAGATTGGGAAATTGAGGAAACCTTGGATGCCATCATCGCTCTAGCTACATCCTTGATGGTGATTCACGCGGTTTTAAAGAGAAATCGTGATAAAAAACGAGTGACAAATATAAATACAAGACAAATAATCAAAATTGAAAAGTTGGAGTATTTGTAATTCACTCATACGTGATTTATTCAAGGTTGCATATACCCAAGAGCAGTTGGTCGCAGAATGCTAGTACATCATCTAATTCTAAGAAATGACTCTTATTGGGCAATTTAAAAAATACAATAAAACAAAAATCATCAAAAAATAATAATCATCGCCACCCAAAAGATTTTGGTCTACAGGTGATTTTTTCTAAAACGAGCCACCCTGGATATCTCTTAAAATAAATATTAGAAAATTCTGTGACAGGTCAATTTTTATTTACAGGGGGACACCTTTTAGTGTAACAAACGACCCCTTCAAAATTTTTGTGATACCTTTGTTTGAGTTTTGAGTATTTTTATTTACGTTACGCAGAACAGAATCTAGCAGAACAATTACTATAATAAATAAATAATGAAATAAATTAATTACTACTAATACTAAACAACTAATTACTACTAGTAAATTATTATAATAAATTACTATAGAAGTGCAAAGATAGCTCTGAAACGTCGTCTGCGTAGATTGACAGTAGGTAATCAAATGTCAAAAAATTAAAAAAATGACCTATCTCGGGTTTTTCTATTTTTTTTTCTAAGATATAGAGAGTGGCGCGTTTTAAAAAAAATCACCCTGTATTTACATAACACACGGCAGACAATTTAATAATCCGTTAGATGCAAAAACAAAAAATTTGGTGTTCCATTAAAATTTTTCGAGTTATTTATCTTTTATCAAACTTCTTCATTTTTTTAACGTTTCGACTACAATACTCGAGAAAAATGTTACAGCACTAACGTTTTTTGAAGAGGTAAAAAGATTTTTTTTATTCTGGTTTTGTCGAGGGGCCGTTATCTTGAAAAAAAATATGTACAGTTACGGAATTAAAATTTCGGGCAGTATTGGTATTTTCATAATGTGAACTCTAAAACAACCTTTACAATAATAACCTCATTTTTTACTCATCTCATGTTTATGTCATTTTGACTTACTTATTTACTTTCAAAAATAGTGATTTGTGATAGTGATAACGGGTAGGCAGCAGATCAAAGCGATGAATTAATTACACTTAGTACAATTAATAAATTTCCTAAGACAAACAAATTGTTTAATTAACAATTTTAACAACAAACAAAAGTTTAATTGTCAAATGTCACTCATGATGACAGTAAAGGGTAGTTTATAGTGAACTTTTTAAAGTGACAGAAAAATACTGCCCGAAATTTTAATTCCGCAACTGTACAATTCCAAAAAAAATCCATCGAAATTCTTGTATTTCCAAAAAAAATCCACCAAAATCCTAGTTATTCATCAATCCATTGTTTTCAGATTAATTCCTTCAATTCCAAATTAATTCGTGTAACTCCAAATTAATTCCAAAAAGAATGTCAGTGCTTAATTCCAGAAAAATTCCACAAATAATAATTCACAAATAAATCCAGTAATAATTCCAAACAATTCAAAGATAATCCCAAATAATTCCAAGCAGTTTCGATAAAATCGCAAAAATTTGTACAACTAATTCTAGAGTTAATAGCCCCTCAGTTTTTGTGTAATCATTAAAAAAAAGACTCTTAATCATTGAAATCAAAATATTTCAAAAACTTTGCAAAATCATCTAAGAGTTTAAAATTAAAATTGAAAGCTACACTCAAAAAACATGTGTTTCACTGACAAAACAAGTTTTTATTGTAACTTTTTCTTGAAACTCCCTCTATACGTGCAAATATTTTTAGTTTAGAGTTGATATCTACACATTCTTAAATATTTTAACACTTAAAGGTCAATAATATTGACTTTACCAATTCGCTAGGACATCCCGTATTTTGTTTCATAGGGATTTTTTTTAATAAAACAAGATCACAACCTTTTCCCCCCCTATAATCAATTTTTCCAGAGTAATTAAATGGTTATCATTAAATGAGTCGTTATTATCGTCCAAACAAAGGAAACTCATTATTTGCAAAGTAATTATGACCTCATCGATTGAAAATGTGGGGCGAATTGTTCGAATTACAACTACAAAATTTCGGTTATTTTCTAATGAAGAATTAAAAAAAATCTTGTATGAGTCCTGTGGGTTGAATAAAAGGCTGTCGTAAGTGCACGTAGTAAACAAAACGTTAAATATGCACTGAACAGCCTTGACTTAAATAATCAGCAAAGCGCAAACTTTTTCATTTCTTGCCGCCAACACAAAACTTACACACTTCAGCAAAATTTTCACAAAACACAAAAAGCGTCAGTTTTCACTCAAAATCACAAACAAACTACTTACGTGCTTAACACAGGTAATGTACAGTTATATTGGTCGTTCACCTTAAGCACAAAAAGTAACAGTTAGGAGCATCTTCTATGCTTTTCAAACTTTTGGCATATCCATCATAAAACCAAAAAGACAGTAGACAACGGTAATGAGGGATTCAAACAAAAACCTTGAACTTATAAGAACTGTCAAGGTCAACCGCATGAATGGAGGCTTTTACTAAAGTCCACGTAACGTCTCATTTCAAATGTGAAATATTTAAATAGAAGTGGGGTTGACTATAAATAGGATGTCACACATGGTGTGTTTGTCTTTGTCTAGTGATTTTTTTATTTAATATTTTTAACTAAACGTACAAAAATTATCTAAACTAAGTCCTTCAAACCGGGCCTGAAGGACGGTCTTTTGAACGCCGGGGAGGGCCTCCGTGCGGGGTCCCCCTCGAAACGACTGAATCTATTAGCTTGTCGGTTGTTCATAATTGGCGGTTTCTGGATTTCTGAGCACAACTGTTGATCCAAAGTCTAGAAAAAACCGTGAGAATTTGAGCTAAATCAGACGAAATAGTACTTCTTCCTTGATGTGTCCCTCCTTCTCGAACAATTTTTCCAATCTGTTGAACTCCAACGAAATTTCGGGGTTATCAGCACTCAAAACTTTGGCTTTAATCGCCTCCAAAACATCCCTACTGAAAGTATGAGTAACTTCGCCTGGCCTATCATCAGAAATTATGGACTTTAGTATCGCTATGACGTCATCCAGACGTCCAACGTCGCTCAAAGCCCGCGCCTATGAAAACAGTTGGAAAAAATCCAGAGAAATGTGAAACAAACCTTGATATTCCTGACTGAGACATAATTGGAGTTTTTAACGTTTGCCATTATTTCCAACGCTGCCTCGGGCATGCCGTGGTTGAGGGCCAAGCCGGCACAGAAGGTCGAGGCGCGTCGCATGGGGAAATGCCCCGCTTCTCTCAATTCCTTCCAGAATTGTAAGGCAAAGTCAACACTTTCTTTCGAATTCTACAAGGCATTATTTAAATTGAGTTGATAGCCCAGTCAAATTAGACAAATCGGTGGAAAAAATCCTAGAGTTGGAATTTTTTTTAAACGCTTTCTTTACACTTGTGTAGACATATGTATATTAAAAAAAAAGATGTCTTTTTTGGTTTTTTGCTTATATCTCGGAAATTATCACTCCTATAGGTTTTTATCTTCTTATCAAAATTAAAGCTTACAAAATTTCCTACAAAAACGGTCCTTTGCATTTTTGTTGTAGGACTAATCGTAAGCGAGTTATAGGGCAGACAAAAAACATCATTTAAAAAAATGTGCTTTATCTGCATTTAAAACAGAATTAGTCTTGTAATTAAAAAAAAAACTGACAGTAAACTGAATTTACTGGGTCCAATACTTCATTAAAGGAAGGGGGAGTCACGAGGGTCTATAAATACAAACTCATCGTTTATGTAATTTATGCAGAATTTTCTGTTGAAGTCTATTTCTGCATCAAAATTTCCTACAAAAATGGTCCTATTCATTTTTGTCGTAGGACTAACCGTAGGCTTCAAAAGTTTGGAGTCTACATAAAATTGCATTAAAAATCCTTTGAAGCACATTTCATTAGTATATAGTAAGTATTTATATGTGTAGAGCGTTCCCCAACTAAGCTGGTCTGCCTGAAAGGGTGTAAACATTTAAACGGAGATATAAATAAAAATTTTGGATGAAAGAGAGAATCAATCTGTAAGGGGGTGTAAATGTTTAAACAACGATATAAACATAAAATTCTTTAGAGGTGTAAAGGGGCACTAAAATCAGATTTTTCGAAAATTAGTTTTTAAGGGAATAAAACGGTGTACACATTTAAAGGTATATAAAAACATTAAATTTAGAAAATATGATCCTTAGAGAGTGTAGAAGTGCACTTTTCTAATTTTAATGAAATGAAATAGAGTTTAAACGCTTAAAAACAAAATTAGAAACATGAAATTTCGAATTTTGAGAGTGCAGAAGTGCACTGAGACGACACTTTATGAAAATCAACATTTAATATTTATCCATAAACATAGCCCATGCGAAGAACGAGACTACTATAACTGAATCCTATACATAACACAGGTAATTATCTAGCTTTATAGAGTACCTAAGCCTATGGAATGGTTTTGTGAACGGGCTTTTTCCCATTTTATATCAGAAATACACGCGGACAAAATCGCAGGCAAATGCTAGTACAGCATTAAGGATGACTCGGAAGACTTAATAGACCCTCGTGGCACTCTCTAATAAACTGTTGGATCCAATACATTCAATTTACTGAAAGCTTTATTCAAATCATCGATATTAAATCATCTATTTATTAATATTGTACTGAACAAGACTGTAATTCGGTTTTCATTGTTTAACTTGAAGACGAAGATGCAGCATATGAGGACGACTCGGAAGACTTTATAGACTCTCTAATGAACTGTTGCACCCAATAAATTCAATTTGCTTTCAGTTTTTTCAAATCACAAGATTAATTCTGTTCTAAATGCGGATAAAGCACATTTTTTTAAATGATGTTTTTGTCAGCTCTATAACTCGCTTACAGTTAGTCCTACAACAAAAATGCAAAGGACCATTTTTGTAGGCTCTAATTCTGATAAGCAAGCAAAAACCGTTAGGAGTAATAGTTTCCGAGATATAAGCAAAAAAACAAAAAAAGGCACCTTTAGCCCCCTCCCCCTCCACGAGCTCACCCCACACCTTCGGGGACTTTTGATATATGTCTACCTAAGAAAAAAGAAAGCGTATAAAAAAAATCCAACTCTCTAAAAATTTTTTTCACCGATCGCCCTATTTTTGTATAATTTGACTGGGCTATGAGTTGGGGTCGTAATTACCATTTTGTAGCAAGCGGCCATCACTAACACCACGCAATTCCGGGGGTATTTAATTTCTAATTGCCTGCCTTTGATCACTTCAAACGTGTCTAAAATCTCCTGGTACCGTCCATTTTCGTACAACATATCTAAGAGAATTTGGTAAGTTATTAGCTGGTCAAAAATGCCATTAAGCTCCGGCGCCTTGAAACACTCCAGTGCCAAATCGGGCTTGTTATGAGTGTAAAACATTCGCATTATGACTGGCCCAAACACGAAATTGCCAAATCTCAACTCCTTGTTTTGCGAGTTAAACCTAGAATTTTCGCAATTAAAACGTTATATCGTCTAGTGGGGCATACTTTTTCGCCATTTTGATCACCAAATCAATATCGTCGTCATTCTCTGCTAGATAAATCATGTTTTTCAGATCCTCGGTAAAGATCATGTTTTGGGAGTCTTGCGACGAATACACGGTCATTTTTTCGCGAAACTTTTCAGCGATATTGTCCATCTGCTGGTGGATTTGCTTGCTTTGCTCGGCAAATCCATCGAGGCCTAGAGTGGCTTTCGCGTAAATAAACCTCGTGTCTGGAAATTTTCGAGTCAAGAATTGGGGTTATATGAGACTCACCTTACTTAAAACAGACGACACCGGAAGTGGTAACTTTAAAACATCGCGTTTCAAGGGTGCGTACAAGGCTCTTAATGTAAAACGTAAAGTTTGAGACATTTTGACGATTTTTAAAATTGTGGAATGGTCGACTTAACCTAAAAAGTGACGACTGGTCGCCGGTTATGTAATATTTTGGTACGAAACCCAGTAAAGCAGTCTAGGAGATTTAAAAATTATTTCTTTTGATTTGATCAAATAAAAACATGGCTATAAGTATTATTTGTTCATAAATTAGTTATTTAACAATTGCGAATTTGAATCGCAAACAGGGTGACCACACATAAGTCGTTAAAACTACCAAATAAATAATACGTTTTTTTTTCTTTAATTGAAAAACAACACGCACACCTAATTACGTACGGTTCAGAAATTTAATTTGCGCACTTTTTACAAATGTTGCGTTATTTTCGATTCAATAAATAAAAAGTTAGGTGGTCATTGTGGTGTTTTATTTTTTGTGCGGTTGGCTCGATTTACTTTACATGCGCAACGGAAGTGCTCAAGTCGGCCATTTTGCGTAAAAGTGTTGCAGGTGAGTTTTTATTCAAAATAATTACTAGTATTTCTTGATTTTTAATACAAGTCATTCAATTGCTCTATTCTAATGTTACATTGCCATAAATTTAATGACAAATGCTCTTTTTAATGTTGTTACTTCAAGGTGGCCCTTGCCACTGGTGATTACCTAATCAATGTCATTTTAAAATCTTTGAACCCACAAAAACACAATTTCGGGAAAAAAGCAGTGATTACGTGACTTTCCAGACAATGGCAGGGCGACTCTTGTGCATGCGGGCGCTGCCCGTCCAAAAGACACTCGGGAGGGCTTCAATGAGCGACATCCGATCCATTATTGGAAACAGGGAAATCGTTGGATTTGGATTCAACGGCCAACCTACTTACGCCGACCGCGTGGATTTCCCCATGCCCGCCATCCGATGGAAGGAAACCACCCCCGATATTCAAGTAACAGAATAAAAAATTCGGTATCCATGAATTAACATTGATTTCCAGGCTTTGCGTGAGAAAGAAAAGGGTGATTGGCGCAAATTGACCATTGAAGAGAAGAAAGCCCTCTACAGGGCGTCGTTCTGCCAGACCTTTGCCGAAATGAAGGCGCCAACTGGTGAATGGAAATCTATTGTGGGGATTGCCTTTGTCTTCGTAGCGTTGGGTTTGTGGGGCTTCTACGGGATGAAAACATTTGGTAAGAACTCAGTGGTTATTTAGAGTGTTGTTAAGTTGGTAATTTGCAGTGTACGCTCCTCTGCCTGAGAGTTTCAACGAAGAAAACAGGAAAGCGCAGCTCAGGCGTATCATTGACTTGCAGATTAATCCAATCCAGGGAATTTCTTCTAAATGGGACTACGAAAAGGATGAATGGAAGAAATAAATTAACTTAAATTTAAAATAATTTGAATGGATTTTTTGTTGACAGCCCAAGAATTCATTCATTTGTATTATAGTAAATTTAGCTCCGAAATTATTACAAATATGGTGTAATAAAACTGTTCTTTTTATTATTTTTCTTTCTTGTGATAACACTTATTTGAATAAATTATTAGTGAAATTGAGTCAAGTTTGATCGATGACCCAGGTTGGTAGCAATGGCGGTGTAGTGTTGGCAACGCCTTATTTTGACGGCTACGACCTTGATGGCCGACTACATAGAGGTTGTGTGTACTCAGTGCTGTGTTCTTTGTAATTTTAGTACATAGTTCCTTCTATATTTAGCTTAATAACATTTCTTACTCTTTAGACGGGGGTGAGTAATGGATTGGCAACGTTGCCAAACCGCCGTCCCACATAAAGACCGAAAACTTGTCCCGTTTACATTGTCTCAAAGATACCTATCGAAAAACGCAATTTTAATTTAATCAGCAATTCCTTAAACTTTCAGATGGCTGCTGTGGGTGATTTATGGGTGTCTTGGTTCAGTTGTTGCGTCCAGCAGCCCCAGAAACGGCGCATTCGGATCGACAGGTAAGCCACCACAACCGTGGCCAAATTTGAATTATTTTTTTTCCAGATCGATGATTGGCTCACCGACCAATTTCCAACACACAGGCCACATTGGCAGTCGAGACGTCGAAATGCCCGGTGACCAACTTGTGGCCCTACAGAACCAAATGAAAAGCAAAGGCGGTTATGAGACAACGTACAAGGTAATCGATTAATTTCGCCAATTTGCGCTAATTGCCCCCGTTTCAGGATCTAAACTGGTGCCAATGATTTTGTTATTATTTATTGTGAGACGTGTGCAAGTGCGACTGTTTAATTTAAAAGTATTAGGTCAAATGTGTGTAAATACGTGTTTATGTAAATAGGACTTTGGTAGCATTCAGGTGGCAATGTTTGTATTAAAACCGCATTTATTTGTATCATACCAGCCTTAGATAAGTGCACTCTAGGAATTTTCCATTTTATCATGTTGTTTGTTATCATTTAAATGGTGCTCTTGTTATCAGTTTTTATATTAATTTTCGTAGCTAGTTGAGCCGTGCCAAAAATCAGACTAAGTTAAGTATTTTAAAACTTTTTTTAAATGAAACCAAAATTGATTGTGATTTTTTATTATGTGAATGAACACTGACAGCAATAATGCCTTCTAACCTCTCTGGAAATTGACGTTTCCAACTCGCCTTAACGAATTGAAATATTTTTGCACATACCTGTTAAAGCACGAGTATTATTCTTGATACTGTTATTGTACTTATTAGTGTAAATTTGTATCCGTGAATAAATTATGATTAGTTTGATTTGCATGTTTTCATGGAGCGCGCCATATTTGAATCGTCGGTAACAAAGGAATTTTCTGTACCGGCGGCGCAGTAAATGACGTAAAAATGGCATACAACAACAAAAACATGCAATCCAGCGACGTTTTAAATTATTATTTAACAATGAACATTAATAATATTTGTAGAATTTGCCTTGAACGCAACCCGAAATTGATGCCGATATTCGATCCGATCAAGCCCCCACATTTTTCGATTTTGATCATGGCGTGTGCTTCCGTACAGGTAAGCCCCAAACACCACGAATTTCCCTCAAATACCGCTTCCAGGTGCTCGAAGATGACGGTCTTCCCCCTTACATTTGCCAGAAATGTATTTCCAAACTAAACATAGCATTCCAGTTCAAGACTCAGTGCGAATCATCAGACGCCAAACTCCGGCAATGTTTCCAGAATTTTCACAACTTGCCCTCGGCCCCCGACCTGACCGGCTTCATCGACGTGAAAAAAGACGGCGAACATTTAGTCACATTCCCCGAGAACACGAATAACAACACAAACCAGCTGGAACAAGTCCAAGTCAATGAACACATCCAAGAAACAAACGATTCACTTGAACAACCCCAATTGCAACCCTTGCAAAACGTGAACATCGAGCCCACGACTTCATTGCATGACCTCGACAAAAACACCCTAACTGAGCTAAAAATCGAGTTCACCGACTTGAAACACCCAGATATTGACCTAAAAGTGGAGGATTTGGCGTTGATTGGCCTCAACCAGCCAAAATCGGCGAAAAAGCCCACCAAACAGCACCAGTGCGACACCTGTGGCAAAGTTTTTCGGACTAAACCCGGCCTGATCCACCACATTCGGATCCACACCGGGGAGCGGCCCTACGTGTGCCACTTGTGCGATAAGCGGTTCATCAACGGGGGGCACCTCCACACGCACATGCGGACCCACACGGGGGAGAAGAACCACATCTGTGCGGCGTGCACCAAAGCCTTCGCCACTGCCCAACAACTGACAAAGCATACGATCGCGATTCACACTTCGGAGAGGCCCTACGGGTGCACCTACTGTCCCAAGAGGTTCGCCAGTTCGAGTAATTTGAACACACATACGAAAATCCACACCGGCGAGAAAAACTACAGGTGTGACCAGTGCGGAAAGGCGTTTTCGACCAAAGGACAGTTGTACCAACACATGTTGGTGCACACGGGGGAGAAGGCGTTCCTGTGTGAGTATTGCAACAAGAGGTTCTCGCAGAAGGCGCATCTGATCAGGCATCTGAAGACGCATAAGAACCAATGATCTGGTGATGATGTCGTGGAGGTTGGTACTCAAATTCGACTGATTTTTATAAAATCTTTTTCGATTAACGTTTATATTAAACAAAACAATCATGACTACGGTGATAGAAAAGTATTAATCAAATGTTATATAAAGTATTGCGTGATATTTTAACGACGGTCTCTTTTACGCATATTGTCAGAAAAACGGATGATTTATGTCGCTTTAAAACTACAATACATCACAGATAAAAATATTTTACGGCAAACGATGTAATCATAGCGTAAGCATGTACAATAATTTTAAAGAATAACAATTCTTACAAGGTAACTTTTTAAATCGTTCGTTATTTAGTACACCTTGCAACTATTTAACTCTCCTCGGATTCCCGTTTTCCATTTTATATTAAATCTAAACACTGGCTTCTGACTAAAATTAAGTTGACAGCATTGAGTATTGCAGGTCTTTTTATGTCTCTACGTTATTCATTGTTGCCAACATCAGTTTCAAGATACCGGCCACTTGATCAGAAAATTAATTGAATCATATTGCTAGATAAGGATAGGTCAATACAAATTTCAATTGATAAGTAAAGATAGAAAATGAGGGATCAACTGAAAAATATGAACAGGGCATAATTACCTAAAACTTTGCTAAGAGAATAAATGAATACCTCTAGAGAACAAAATAGTGTATTTTATACCATCTTTTTTTTAAACTTAGTTATGCTGTTTTTAAAGAAAAAAAGATTTATTTTAATTTAGGGACACGCAGCAGGTGATATTCATAAACAGTGAGGTCTGGTGAAATTTTTACCAGATCCGGTGATTTTGATTTTTGATGCCAGTTTGTTGAAATTTTTTCTAAAAATTCTAATATCTGGTGAGTTTTTTGGAAATGAAAAAATTTCATACACTAATATTTCCATTATTGGTATAGTAAATTAGGTCAAAAATAAATGACCCTTTTTTGCATCTTTTTCCAACATTGTGTACGTTTTTCAACCAGAAACTTGATTATTTAAACAAATTTTCTTAAAAAAAAACGAACAATAACTAAATTAGCTAAAATAGTTTTATTTATTTTTTACGACAATTTACTTTTGCCTTTTTCGAAAGGTACATTTTTCCGCAACAATCACGATTATTTCGCTAAAAAAAAACAAGATGAAAATTCAACAAATTTGACCAAAAATGGTGATATTTTTGGCTTTCCCGAATGTTTCAGCGATAAAAACAAAAAAAGACAAAAATTTTGTTAAAGGCGACTGAAAAATTATGAAATCGATATTATTTTTTATCACGCTTATTTCGCTAAAAACAAGATGAAAATTCAACAAATTTGACCAAACACGGTGTTCTTTTTGCTTTTACAAGTGTTTCAGCACATTTTTGAGATAAAAACAAAAAAATTGAAGAATTTTGTTTAAGCAGACTGAAAAATTACAAAATCGATATTATTTTTTCACAATTATTTCGCTAAAAATAATATGAAAAATCAACAAATTTGACCAAAAATGATGTTCTTTTTGCCTTTGACGAATGTTCCAGCACGTTTTATCTCAAGATAAAAGCAAACTGAAAAATTACAAAATCGGTATTATATTTTTTATCTTGTTTCACTCAATTTAGTTCGTTTTTGAACAGTTTTTGATTATTTTGTTTATTTCCCTCGATTTTATGAAATTTGACTACTTTGAGCAAAATAATGTCAAAAATAAGGCGAGAAACTACAAAATTTGCTCGACAATTCTTTTCCGAGTGTTTCAGCACGTTTTTGAGATAAAAACAAAAAAAAATAAAAATTTTGTTAAATCAGACTGAAAAATTACAAAATCGATATTATTTTTTATCTTGTTTCACTCGATTTAGTTGGTTTTTGAACAAAGGCTAATCTATTTTGCAAAACATTTTGTGTAAACGCGCCCAAAAATCACAAAAATTAATTGAAATTGATGTTACTTTGTTTATTTCCTTCGATTTTGTTGAGTTTTGATTGTTTTGAGCACATTTAAGTCAAAAATAAGGCAATAAAAAACTTTTAAGCACGTTTTTCGTACTAAAATATCAGGTTTTTCGCACGATTTCGCTACAAGAAACCAAAGAATCAACAAATTAACGCGAAAATTAATACCTTTTTTCGGCGTTTTAGCACGTTTTTCATCTGGAAACACAATTATTTTGCAAAATTTTCTAAAAAAACAAGCCAGAAAACACAGAATTCGGCCGAAAATGACGTCACTTTTACCTTTTTTTAAAGTTTAAACCGAAAAATCCATTTTTTGCCAGATTTTGAGTCAAAAATTACAAAGTTGTAATTTTTACGTAAACTTTCGACAGTTTGGAAAGATTTTAAATCGTAATTTTATAATTTCGTGAAAGTAGGTGTAAATTTCCTAACTTTTTCAACATTTTAACTCGAATCTGGTGACTTTACTTTTTTTGAGCTGGTAAAACTGTTCATAAAGGCGTTGGAAAATTCAACTCGACCCCGAAGTGCGTAATTTGAAAATAAATTTTTAAGATTTTTCATGGATAGACCACACCGGAATTTCAGGTAAGAATATTGAAATCAACATTAAAAACATAAAATACACTAGGCTATTAACGCACCCAAACGAGTTCGTTAATAGCGTTGTTAAAGACGCAAAATAGAAAAGGGTTTTTAGCTTTTTACATTTTTTATTTTATGTCGGCGAATGTAAATTCTTGATCAGTAAATCTAAATCCGCACTCGCACGTCGAATTCAAATCTAGTAAAGAATAAAGTGGTGTTATTTTATATTTTGTGTATTCATAATAATATTCAAATCCACGGTGGATTTTTGTATTAAAGCACCAACCACGCAATTTGGAAACCAAGATCAATAAAAACCATCAGTTACGATATTTGCTAAAATTACAAATTATGTATAATGGAAATACAAAAAAAAGAAATATTTTCTGACTGAACCCCTTCCTTATTAAATATTTTTGCATAAAAAATGTTTGTATTTCAAATTTCAAAGGATAGCAGATGTTTGAAATTTGAATCGAGCTTTAAAGTTCAAAAGCCACAACAATACGAAAGTTGAGAGTGAAACACCTACACCAGTTTTATCCAAACTCCAACATTTGTAACTCCCACGACAATGAAAACGAAATTAGTTTTGAATGGGATTTGCCTAGAATAGACGCAACTAAAAATAGCTGTAAAACATCCTGCAATTGAGTAAAGAAAAAAATTCATTGATGAGCAGAGAATTCGTAGTTATTTAAGTGTCAAGGCACTAAAGTCTTATTTTTTCATTACAAACGTGGGTTTAGTTGCCGAGGTGACAGCCGAGCATAAGAAAAAATCAATAATATCAAAAAAAAATGTATCAGGTGTTGTAAAACAAATTTAAGCATTAAATTAATGATACAATTAAGTATTATTTTTCATAAATAATAATAATTATGATCTGGCTAAAACTGCAACAAAGGGGTGGCTCAAGAAAAAGTTTCGCTTTGACAGCTAACATAACCTCAAAAATGGCTTCCCTCGAAGACTTAAAATTCTACCCGCAGAACCAACTAAACTACTACTACGACACAAATTCGAGCACGATTTGTCGCATTTGTCTCGAAAGATTCCAAAACAATAAAAAAATGTGCAATATTTTCGAAGGAAACGAACCTATTTTCAACATGATTATGTCGTGTGCTTCAGTTCAGGTAAACATCACACCCTTAACCCCCAGACTTGAAACCGGCCCTTTCAGATCCTCCAAGGCGACGGTTTACCCAACACAATTTGCCAGAAATGTCTCTCAAAATTAAACGTCGCTTGGCAGTTTAAATTACAGTGCGAAAGCTCCGATTTGCGCCTCCGCCAATTCTACACCGACTCCACCATCCTGCCCTTGGGTTTCCCCGAAACGGAGAAAAATAACGTCGGGTTTGAACCCCCGGAACCAAGCCCGGACAAAACACCCGAAATAAAGAAACAACCACCAAGTGGGAAAAAACGGCCCAAAGAGAGCAAAATCCACCAGTGCGAGACGTGCGGCAAGATCTTCAACAGACGGGAGTATCTCACCCAGCACATAAGAATCCACACGGGGGAGAAGCCCTACTGCTGCCACATCTGCGAGAAGCGGTTCATCAATTCGGGGCATTTGACCACGCACATGCGGACGCACACTGGCGAGCGCCCCCACGCCTGCTCGCTGTGCCCCAAAGCCTTCTCCACGCGACAGGAGTTGCACAAGCACACGATGGTGCACAACGGGGAGCGGCCGTTCGTGTGCACCACCTGCGGCAAGTGCTTCGGGAGCAGCAGCAATCTGTATTCGCATTTGAGACACCACACGGGGGAGAAAAACTTCACCTGCGAGCATTGCGGGAAGGCGTTTTACACCAAACAGGAGCTGAAGCAGCATCTGGTGATTCACACGGGGGAGAAGGCCTTCGCGTGCAAATTCTGCAACAAGAGGTTTTCGCAGAGTGCGCATTTGCGTCGCCATTTGAAACTCCACGCGTGATTTTGTGATATTTTTTCTGGTCTTTCGTTTAATAAATTAATTCGACGGTTTTTTTAAATAAGACATATTTATTACAGGTCATTTAGTTACATATCTTCATATAATTTCATATTTTATTCATTTATTTATATATTTATAGATACAAGATTCATTACAGGCAGTTTTCACCAAACAGCGCATGCTTTGAATCTCACATTGTGTTCACATATACAATATTGGCAAAACAATAAACAAATAAAATAAAAGAATACTGCTTAGATCAGCTCACAACGATGAATTCACACACATTTGCTCGCGCTCAGGCATTCACACACGCTCGCTGCTTTTCTTCCCATATACCTAGACAAAATTGCTTTTACTGCAGTTGTGCAATAACCCGACCACCGAGGTCACTCTGAGTCACCAGGAGTCAGGAAGAACAGGTTCATGTATGCTATCGGCATATTGACAACCAACGAAAAATGTTTTTTAAAACTTAAGAGATTCCTACAATATGCTGATATAATACAGTCAGCCGAATCTTAGAGTGTGTATATAGTCAAGAAGTAAAACTTTTTTATCTATACATTCAATGACATCGAATATTCTGGCCGGTAAAAGTTTTTTTTTTTTTGAGTAAAGAAAAGAAACGTTTCTACGACTTGACCACAAACTCACTTTTACAGATATAAATATTTATAATTTATTAACAAATATAACATTCAGTAAACTTTTTAAACTGGAACAGTGCAACTCGCCGAAATAAAAAACAAATGAACAAACGCAATTTCATTGTTCCGTTTATTAGACTAGCGGCACATATATATTTTATTATTAATTAGTCACTACCGAACTAATAAAAGCATGAATTTATCAGAGTGATAATCCCGCCGAACCGAACTCACAAATAAGGTAAACTAAAACCGATAAGAACCAATCAGAACGCAACGATTGAGAGACGAAACACACTGATCTATAGTGATGTATTACACTAGTTCCGTACCTTATTTTACAAGTTGGTTTCATGGACATATAGCTAGATTCACACTCTTCTTTGTGCATCTACAGATTGTAAAAATTAAAAGTCTCCATCGCTTACACTATCTGTAGTAGATTAGTAAAACCAACAACTAAACTGGATCTACTCAACTCAAAAACGCGCGCCATACCGTCCATCCCCACCCCCGACTTAAGTACGAATTCTTTGAATTGAGCAGAAGAACATCAGATGGAAACACAAACAGTTGTGCCAAAATCAACTAAATTATTGCACTAGCACTAATCTCAACAAATAATAAAAATAAATACAACACTTTAAGGTTAACATATAAAAAATATATCATTACAAATAATGATTGTTAACTGCGATCCTCGATTTTACTTCTTTTTAAATGAGATTGCACACGAAATTCGACTTTTTTACAAACAATTCATTGATAAGTGTATAAAAAGTTAGATTATCACAATTCCAAAAATATGAATAGAATTCATGAACATATTCACCGATCGTAGAGACGCTTCTGGGACGGCCGCCCCACACACACCCATGATCCTCTACAATAAAAAACGAAAGAGAGCACCATAGCGACCGCCCCCCTGCCCCAATTGTTGCAATTGCCCGGAAACAGGGCGTCAACTTCTTCGTTTGAAAAATCACGCCTCCACTCAACGTAAAACAAAAAATCGGTAAATCAATAACTTATTTGCTATTTTATATGATCTACATAACCACTAATTTGATATCACAATGATGTTCATGACAAACACATATGGGTCCATGAGAAATAACAAAACTCGACAAAAGAGATTATGGCAAATTGACTGAAACTTCAGTGATTTGTACTTTTATCATGATACTCGCGTCTAAAAATGATAAAAAATTGTCAAAACAATTACAATGAAATGCATTAGATAATGATACACAATATACCACGTGACTGACAGAGAACGTGTTACGTTTGCCAAATTGTCAACTTGTTTTTTTACTGACGACACTACTTTAGTATGAAAAAATGAAATTTGCGTTGTCTCAGTTGGTCCTACAGTTTGTTTAGTGTATGTGTGTTAGTTGACAAACGTAATCATCATGGAATCGACTTTTGTTAGTAAGAAAGCGTTGGAGACAAAACAACAGACTAAAAAATGAGGTGGGCGGTTATAAGAGTTCATACTGGCGGAGGTGCATACGCTGAATGATATCACGGCAGTCGTTAAACACTCTCTTGATATTCTCCGTATCAACGGCACAAGTAAAGTGAGGATAACAATAGTGCTTGCCTTCACCAGAGGCTGTACTTATACGCTGAAAAAAAAAACAACAACACCGTTGGATGGCGCCGTTTTCACTTCACAGAGATACTCACCAGGAACTCGTCTCGAATGAAGTACTTGGCGCGAAAAACTTCCGGAGGTTCGTTTGCGTCATTCGCGACTTCCTGGGGCGGCTGATAGCGCGCAAAGTCGGCAAAGTAATCCTCCAGTTTGCTTTTTCCTACAAACACATCGTTTTCACATGAGAAAATTCGGATGAAACCACCACTACCTGCAAGGATTTTTTCCGCGAGCAGATCCTGCTTGTTGAGAAAAAGTATGACGGAAATGGTACGCAACCACCTGTTGTTCCATATGGATTTGAACAGGTCGAGGCTTTCGCGCAGCCTATTTTGGGTGGGATCCTCCCTCAACACCATGTTATACGAGCTACACGCCGTGACGAAGATAATCGCCGTGACGTCATTGAAACATTGGATCCATTTTCGTCTTTCGTCCCTTTGGCCACCGACATCGAACATGCTGCAAGGAGAAATATCGAATTCGGTTTAAATGACAAACCAGATAATTATCTACTTACTGAAAGTTGACTTTGTCAACCTGGAAGAGCGTTTCGAATATGCCGCTGGTAAGTACACGGCAGCGCAGGATGTCCTGCTCTGTTGGAGTGTAATTGGGTTGTTTTATTACACTCACTTGATCAAGGAAGTACTTCGCACAATCTATCAATTGATATTCGTTACTTCTTTCGTACGTAGCCTAAAACACAAACACATCTCAGTTTCATTGAAAAAAATACTTTAAATCATTAATGTATTAATAGAAACGAAACCTGCCACTTTGTTTCAGTGATCATTTTTACAACAAAAAAACTCTTTATTTGGTTTAATTAATACGCAGGTACTCTTTGTTTGTTTTAAGTAAAGAAACAGTTTTTGTTTATTCTAATTAGAACAAAGGAGGTGCAATTGACCATTTTTAAGCAAATGAAGAGTCTTAAAACAAATACTTTTATAAAAATGCAATTTTAAGTAAGATTAACATGCATTTCTCCTATATGGCGCAATACCTGAAAAGCAAACCTTAACTTCAAAAAATCATATCTTAAAAACTACTCGGTATATTATTTTAAAAATTTGGAATCTTATTAATAAAAAGATGCTCTACATGATGGTGACGAAGAAAAAAAAAACTCGTAGGGTTTTTCTTAGATTACTTCGATTTACTTCGAACACTGTTCGAAGAAAACTTTGCCAATATTCAATTTCAAATTGCATATCATTCTAAAGGGTAAATCCATCCCTTTAAAATGGCCTTTATTTGAAGGAAATCGGCCTAATAGTTATTGAGTAATAATTTTTTAAAGTTAAAGTGTTTTAAATTCATTTAAATTAGAAAAAAATTATTTAGTTCAAAGTGTGTGGACTTTTAGAATTTTTTTTAGTGCATTTGATTTGTCTCACTGAGACGAACAAAATGATATAAAATTTGTCAAGTTGTCACGACATGACTTTTTTTTGTCGCCTTGTGCTATTGAAATATGCTTTTTTTTTACAAAGAAACAGAATAATTTATCACATTATTCCATTTTTTACTTTGCTTTTGTTACGCTTGATTTCCACAGATAACAATAAATTTCAAAAATAACTAAGAAAACCTGGTGAAAAAATAATTTTGGAAGAGTTTCAAATTACAAAATTTAATAAACTGGCTAAAATTATACATTAGCGTTTTATTTCTGTCTTATGTATTTTAAGTTTATGAAAAATAAGCCATTAGGGCGTATTCAAGCCACCTGTTTTTACTACAACAACAACTTTATCAAACTATGAAATTTTTTTGAAAATCAACTAAATGAAAAATTATTAAATTTAATAATATGACGAAAATCAATATTATAAAGAGTGAAAAAAATATGGAACCAAGCGCAAACTAAATGATGAAATAGTAAGTTACATGCGAAGTCGAAAAAATTACTTCGAGAGGTTTGTATACTATTTTATACGTAATCTCATTTCTTGAAAAAAGTTAATGCACTGACTTAGCTGCTATGCACATTGAGTTTTTGGATCGTAATCTTGGTAATCCCTTATAAGAGCTTCCCGACCACGGCATGTACCAACAATTTCCCAATTTCAAAAGGGTTAAAAATTGCCATACTACTATAGTGACTGTGAAAAGTGAAAAGTACTTACTATAAAAATGTACAAATTCACAAAACTTAAAAACAAATTAAAAAAAAAAAGTCACATTTTTATAATTTATTTCGCTGTTCCATATTTTTTGCACTCCTAAACTACACGACATAAAAAATGCACCACCTACAAGATGAAAGAGTTGCAGACTGTTCTGTCTTGGCAATTCGCTCTTCATTCAAAAAATCATCCATTTCTTATAAAAATCTTCACAAGAAGGAAATTTTTGTGGTACATTTTTTACGATACGCAGTGTATAAATCGTCCATTACTCTTCCAATTACCAACACATCGCAAAAAAACTCCATTCCAGAGCGCATAATCGAATGTTTTTTTTTACCTGTACACCTTTGTCTTTCCAGAGAGCCTCTGTGTGTTCATAAAACTCGGGTGGGTAATCGAAGTCGGGACCAGTCGCGCAATCCTGAATCCAGTCCACTCGGGCTTGATTCTCTGGCTTTTCTAATGGCACGGGAGGAGCCAAAGTCGACATTGCTCCCGTTATTGTCTAGAAAAAAAAAAACAGTTTTTAACACTCGGAAGAAAAAACACAATCTAAAAACGGGGTTACTTATGACTCATTTTGTCCCACCTTCCCCTATTCTTAATATTAAAAAACAAAGTGCAAAACAATTACTGTCAATACTAGAAGTCGGAATTTTGCTATTTTTAAATACTTAAAAGAAAAAAACGAAAATTAAAAAATAGCACCACATATACAGGGTGTTTAGCTAAAGAAAAAAATGTGGAGAAAAATACTCAACGGCAAAAGGGTAAAGAAACCATTTTTTTTTTCTTAACGGCAAATGAGGTATTTTCTTGAATTAAAAACTGGCTATTATTGACTATTCATAAAACTAATAAATCTTGAATTTGTAAAAAAACTACTTAGCGTTCAAGTTAAAAAAAACTCTCAATTTGTATTTATTTATTTGCGGATTTAGAAAAAAATTCAATTACTTAACGTACATAAAAAATCAGTTTTCTGAAAAAAAAAAAAATTAGAATATCTACAATCAATAAATTATTTCCACTAATTTTTTTTTCGCCCCACGAACCCATGGAGAATAATATAATAGTACATGGGCAATACACAAAATGTGTCTGAGAAAACGAATAAACTTCATAATTTTTTGGCGACTAACTTTTTTTGTACAAAACAACTTTTTAGTATAGTATGTTTTCCAATGATAATAGAAATAACACATCTTATTATTTTTCTTCAGCGAATTAACAAAAAATTACCATTTATTATAATACATAACATAGTAAAAAAAAATCCGAAAAAATTCTCAAAAAAAAAAGCGAACAATAACCAAATTAGCTAAAATAGTTTTATTTATTTTTTACGAGATTTTACTAAACAGGGTTGAAAATGACAATTTACTTACTTTTTCGAAAGGTACATTTTTCCGCAAGAATCACGATTATTTCGCTAAAAACAAGATGGAAATTCAACAAATTTGACCAAAAATGGTGTTAGTTTTGCCTTTCCCGAGTGTTTCAGCGATAAAAACAAAAAAACAAAAAAATTTGTTAAGGCCGACTGAAAAATTATTAAATCGATATTATTTTTTATCACGCTTATTTCGCTAAAAACAAAATGAAAATTCAACAAATTTGACCAAAAACGATGTTCTTTTTGCCTTTTACAAGTGTTTCAGCAAATTTTTGAGATAAAAACAAAAACATTGAAGAATTTTGTTTAAGCAGACTGAAAAATTACAAAATCGATATTACTTTTTTCACAATTATTGCGCTAAAAATAAGATGAAAATTCAACAAATTTGACCAAATATGATGTTCTTTTTGCCTTTTACGAGTGTTCCAGCACGTTTTTGAGATCAAATTAAAAAGTGGCTATTATTGACTATTCATAAAACTAATAAATCTTGAAATGAACCATTTGTAAAAAAATTACTTAGCGTTCAAGTTAAAAAAAACTATCAATTTGTATTTATTTATTTGCGGATTTAGAAAAAAATTCAATTACTTAACGTACATAAAAAATCAGTTTTCTGAAAAAAAATTAGAATATTTACAATCAATAAATTATTTCCACTAATTTTTTTTTCGCCCCACGAACCCATGGAGAATAATAGTACATGGCAATACACAAAATGTGTCGGAGAAAACGAATAAACTTCATTATTTTTTGGCAACTAACTTTTTTTTGTATCAAACAACTTGTTAGTATAGTATGTTTTCCAGTGACAATAGACATAACACAAATTTTTATTTTTCTTCAGCGAATTAACAAAAATTAATAACATTTATTAAAATACATAACATAGTAAAAAAAATCCGAAAAAACTTAGATGCACAGAGAAAAAAAAGTTTTTTATGGCAAACGCTGATCTTTGTGTGATTATTACTTTTTGATATAAAGTTAAAATATACTTTTATGGGGTTCACCCTGTATATTGTTTTTAAACTCGTATTTTTATCACTCCTAAAATTTTGTTTTCTCTCTCGCTTCCGATAAAATTGCCAGTGTCGTCCTCCGATTCTTTGATTAAAAGCAGCTGGACGCAATTACCGCCGATGTTGAATTTTTTCGTTATGAAACACGCTGCCAATTTCAAAGTTTTTACATACAGACAACACCGTAAACATTGTCGATTTAATTATAGAATTCCCGCCCTCGCTTTTGATCACATTATTGTTTTATTTTATTTTTATTGTTGCTTGTGATCTTGTCACACATTCACCACTAATAAAAAAAAAGTGTTATTTACGAGATTAAGCTTTTGCCAACTGGAAGTGTAGTAAAAAATTTGATAGAGAAGGAAAGTACATACATTTTTAATGTTTGTTGCTAAATTTAAATACTGGCAGAGTTTTTCCGTCTCGATCGTGAATAAGTTGGCCCAAGAGAAATTTTTATTCTAGTCCGTGTTACCAGAAGGAAATTAATAAGCAGTTTGCATACCAACTTTCACTGGTTGTAACCGAATTGGGTCATTTAAAAAATTGATAAAGGGATGAAATGAAGGTTTTTGAAACGTCGAGTCATGATTTAAGACAAATGTCAATGGTAAAACAACGAGGAAAAAACTAGTTCTACAAAATGTCAGCATGTAGTGGCACACTTTTGATTTTCGGCTGATTTTTGTAATTGATAAAGGAATGCAATTATGTTGGAAGAATCGGTTTTGTAACATTGTGATAAGCGGGTCATGATCGCCTTGTCTATTATTCAATAATACCCGGTGTTTCATCAAAAATTTATTTGACAAAGAAAATACAGGGTCGCATGGAAAACCAGTCAGTGATAAGTGATAAATTTATTGCTAAATCATGTTTGAGGAGGGGAAACAATGAGATGTGATAAAAAATCGCTCTGACCCAAAAGATTGCGGTGATTCATTGCGATAGTGTTTAAAAATAGATAGACAGTCTATTTTGTATCAAATTTTGTTTATTTAGTAATAATACACTAGATTTAAGTTGGTCTTATTGTCATTATTGTTACTGTGAAGGTCGTGTTAAACTTGACACACTTGATGAATGGTGTTAAGTCACAAATACTGATGGTGGAGACAAATGACAGAAACTTGCTTTATAAAGCAATTAAAACAAGTTTTATTAGCTCACATATTACTAGTTTATTTTTGTATCAAATTAAAACAAAAACCGACTTCATAAATATGTTAAGAATGTACCTCCAGAAATGTATTTATTAACAATTTAATTTTTGGACATGCATTAACTGCACGGCGATAATAATAAGTGTTTGTTAGAATCATGTCCTTCGGATAAATTGAACTTACATGATCCTTAATGAACAGTTTTATGATAAATTTGCTTCAAACTATAGACACTAATATGTAGTAATTGTAAATATTAAAATGTCAAACAGCAATTTACTACAAAAATGAATAATAATAATACATATAATAATAATCATAGAGTGCCCCATGTACTTAGTTACAAAAAATACAATTTTTTATATGAAAATTGAATCATTATTAAATATTAAATAATTATTTGATGACNTGATGACTAAATTATTAATTCAGACTATACACTATAACATACGTTTTTTGATAAAAGTATCGCTTAGGATATTAAAACATGAAAAATACCAACCAAAATTGATAATTTCCATTATTTCCATTATTGTTTTAGTAGGGTTTCAAACTGTTCAATTATGTATATTTAATGTAAATAATGTTCAACAGAAAAATTAATTCAAAACACCAATATCTTTGGGTAGAATATATTTTTAGAACATTTTTTTCATGGAGTGATAAAATTATTACCAAATTTGTTTTGGAAGCTTATTCCCATTAAATTGGTGCACACCCCCCGTATACCAATGCCGACTTTCCGCCCCTTTTCACCACCGTTAACAAGGGTGGCAGTCAATGAGGTGTAAATCTGGATTCGATCAAACTTTACACTGAATTAACAAACCATAAAAGTGTCACATTTTTTATTGTTGTACTATTCGAAAATAAATCCAAACACCCCCGTATAAGGATGAGTTGTTTGAATTATATTTATTTAATAGAAACATATTAACTAAAAATAAACTCACTTTTATTTTCCTGGAAATAAAAATCGCGTAAACAAACAAATGGAGAGAGAAGACAGGATATGTGACGTGAGAAAATATTTTAAGCTGTCAAATATATCACCTGTTACAATCTTTTGGTCCCACGTAAAATTAAATATTAAACTTTTTTTTAAAACCGACTTTTCTAATGTGTGTGTTTGGAAAGCTAGATGGTTAATTAAGATTGATTATTTTTTAATGCCAAGTGGGAAAACAAATTTAAATACGATTACAAATTTCGCAAATATTTTTTCACTAAATATAAAATATGTATTTGTAGGAATAAAATCTAAACCGATTTTGTATTGATTACACGGGAATTTTTGCCTCAAGTGAACACCCTGTATAAATTTAATAAAACGTGACAAAATACCAGTCCCAAGTTTTTTAAATGTCTAGAAATAGACATAAATGACCCAGTTTCTCGTATATTTATATGAAATAATCTCCGAGTAAAGTCTGAAAAATGATATTTTAGTTGAAAATTCGTTATTATAAAAAATTGTTTCTAACAAATTGTTTCAGCATTTCTGTGCCGCCCACTAGGATTAGACAAATTAGATATTTTTATCATTTTTAATAAAACAAGTTCAAAACAAATTTTTTTCCTTAGATTGGTAATGTTTTTTTTATTGGTTGACGAGTTAAATTTAAAGTATTTCCTTTATACAGGGTGTCCCACGAGTCCAATATCTATGTTATTTGCCAACGGATTTTTATGAAATTTAAAATGTAAATCACTTAAAAGGTGGAAATAATAATATAATAAATAAAATTACCACATATTTTCTCAATTTAAAATTAAACGAAACCATTATTATATTGTTAAGTACTAAAAGTAGACCTACACACGAAAAATTAACTAAATCACTTATCTGAATCAGCAAAAATACGTGGATTATGTTGTTAAAATTTCGATCAATTTTTTTAAAGAATTTTCTCAAAGTAAACTCTAAAACGTCTCCAAGTAACATTTTGTACAACCCTGAGAACCTGTAGTAAATTAAGTTAGAACACCTTTAGAACTTTTAGAACCATTAATGCCAATGGTGGTACCTTCGAGCATCTTTTGTTATATTGAACTTGTTAGTCCAATAAATGCGGTTCCTAAATTATGTTATCAACTTTTTGAAGTTAGAGAGACAAAAAACGTCAAATACAGAGTGCGCTAGAACTCGCGCCCCAGAGAAAAATATATCTTACCATATAAGGTGAGATACCAGGAACATGGAAAAAATGTTAAAAAAATTTTATCTATCAAAATTTCGAAGTTATGAGGGTTTAAAGTTTGCACTTTGACTCTATTTATTTCTGTTTGAAAAAAAATTTTTCAAGTTTTTTTGCTATAGGCTATTAAAAGAGGAAACAAGGAAGCTGTATCCTGAATTGTAACTCTGTTCAATGTTATTTGTGGCAAAATTTTTGTGCCTTTACTAAATAATTGTAATACTAAATAATTGTAAAAAAACATATACAAGATCATCAGTATCATTAAATAGATATAAAAAAATGTCACATGTCAAAAAAAATGTCAAAATTTTTTAGATAGAATTTTTTAAACATTTTTTTCATGTTCCTGGTGTCTTACCTTACTTGAAAATTTTCTCTGGGGCGCGTGTTCTGGCGCAACCTGTATAATAGTTTTTATATTAAGGCGCATCGAAGTAGTCATTGAAAGGAATCATTTTAAGATGGCAACCATGCGAAAATTCAAACAATCCCAACCTCAATCTTCCCTAAAAATTATTTTCTCAAATAAATATGTGTACTCCAGTTTTTGAGGTAGCAGAAAATAATTAAAATTAACAACGTAATTAACATAGGGTGAAAAACAAAGATTCTTGTCATTATTGATGTGATTAACTTTGTTCTGAATGACATTAAAATGACACTTTTTGTGTGAATCGGCCTTTAAATTAAAGATACATTTAGACTTCTACAACCTACTTGATGCACATTAATATGAAAAAGGGTATATCAATGTCATTCTCGCCCAACAGCCAGGGGTGACCAAAATTTGGTAAAATCGTTTTTTTTTATTTGCATCTACAGCCACTTTTAACACAATTTTATTCTTTTTTCTTGTAAGCGAGACCCCTTTCAAGGACAGATTTTTTCTTATGGCTCTTTTTTATTAGCGATTAAGTAATTTAGCATTTTCAAAAGGCATGTTAAAATCACATTTTAAAAACTAGAGTTGTTTTAATAATGTGATATTAATCTCTAGCTACTAACTTCGTTAGAATTTGTTGGCAATTAAAGGAATTTTAGATGCGAAAGTCTTAGGTGGGACACCCTGTGTACTTTTCAAAAAAGAAAAGATAATTTGGGGAATGGGGAATAAGACAAGAAACAAAAAGAGGATAGCCTGTATGAAAGAATAAATAAACAACCTATGCTAATTTGATTTTGTACCTAAATATAGACGGCTTCTATTTATTTCTTAGCTCTCTGGAGTCAAATTAGAAAGTACTAATGCTGCGTTTTAATTAAATTGAGTTATATTAAGTTATATTGAGCCACCCTGTATATAATCGCAAGTTTCATTTGTGTTTATCATTTTCTTGATGACATGTATACATTGTCACCAACATTGCAAAAAAATATTGCAAAAAAACTGGGTATAGAAATGAGTGCTTTAATGGGATTATTATAGTTTTTTTTTTAGATTTGATGACCGTTACGTACAATAATGGCATCTCTGATGTTTTTCTTGATGTCTTCAATCTTCTGTTTCTTTTCCCTTTCGCTGAATCCGTTGACGTGCAGAATCCGCATCTGCTTGACGATGGTGGACTTGCCGGACTCGCCGGCCCCCAGGAGCAGGAGCCTGTGCGTGGCCCTGTAGACCTGCTTCTCCTTGGCCAGCTGTCTGTTGATGTGGTCGTTGATCCTCTTCTGGCTCCTGATGTCCTCTGAGGAGGCGGCGGCGGCGTCCCTGTTGCCGAAGCAGCCCATGGCCGCCAGAGGGGACCACCAGCAATCAGCCCCCTTGTCGGCGGCCACAGGGCCGCACTCTGGACCCGACGCCACCGTGGCTGTCCTCGCCCGCCGCGCTCAATGCTCAGCACCCGATCATAGCGGCCCAAGGCCCCCGGCCCCAGTCACCAGCGGGGGCCCGCCATCACGCCTGCTATTTTTACTAAGGACGGATGGCCCCACTACATCCAGCCGGACCAAAATAGCGGACGACGACGATGACCACCACCACGACGACGACGACACTACTCACTCGGGGACGGGAGACTCGCCGTACACCACCCTTGGAGGTCCGATGGCCGAGCGGCCGCCACCACCACGCACCGACACCAACCGCCGCCCGATGCCGATTCCACGCGACCACCGCACGCCCCACGACACAGGAAATGCACCGATTTCAACACTTTGAGGACGTCGCCTGAGAAAAGACGGCCGAATTTAACATGTCCGCCGACGACGACACCGACTGACTCGCGTTCTGGACGGCCTTGGCGAGAGCGGCGCCACCGGCATGCTTGCTGTCACAACACTGCGCATGCGCCGACCGATACGCCCGCACGAACGCCAAATTTAAACACCAACACTTAACAAATTACGACCAAAAGTGGTAAATCTTCAGCTAAGAAGAGAAAATAACTCGTGACCAAGACAACGCAGTGCTGCTGGTGATACCAGACTGCAAAAAGTGCAATGTTAGGGAAAAAAGTATATCAAAGTCGGCCACCTACCCAATGAAAAGTGATAGACAAATGCTAATTGATTATACAGATAGAAACAGTTAAAAATTTAATGTGGCAACGTTGTCTACAACAACAATGGCATTAATTAATTTTCTTGAAAACTCAGTAACCGTCTCCTAGACAATAAATTTTGTTACCATGACGACAGCTAATTTTAATACACAGTGTTGTAAAATCTACAAACAGTATTTTTTTGTTGTGAACGTATGTCTCATGGCAGTTCGTATGTTAGCTAGATGTCAAAAAATTATTTTATAAAAATTAAAATATTGGAATTATTCTATGAAACTTCTTAAAACACAAAAATGAGATGTTGGTGTTTATTCATACAAATTGTTCATCACGGTTTGCTGTCACAATTTACATAAAAATTATTTTGACATTTATCATTTGTCATTACCTTCCGCAGACACACGTTTTAAATTTCTACGCTTGCTTGATAGACCGACTTTTTGATCGCACTGTACAAGTGGACAAAAAGTATGGAACCAAGCGTTTTTTTTAATCATTTAATAAAATAATTAAAATTTTATTTTCATTTTGAATTATGCAATTTTTCTTTTCAAAATGGCAACATACAGCTACATTAAAAAAAAAACGGGAAATGAAATTTTTCCAAATTTAAATTCGGTTCTGGTTGACAATTGTCAACTTGACAATACCAACTTGTGTAATGCTGCATTTAAGTGAAGTAGAGAAAGCCAGAGTGGTCGCTTACCTGGAAAATGGTGAGAAAATTATTAATTTAGCGGCAAAATTTAGAGTGTCATCAAAATATTTTAACCTATTTACACGTCCACACCATGGAAAAATTGAAAAAAAAAACTCTATTTTTTTTATATTTACCGTTTTTTTAATGAAGTGTGTATATGAAATTTTTTTTATTGTAATCCTTGCAGCACATCCTTTGTAAAAAAAAAAGTTTTATGGTGGGTTGCATTAACTAAAAAAAATTTTTTTGCAGAACAAGAAAATTTCGAAAATTTTTATTCTTGATTAAACGTCACATTTTTATAAAATTCGGGTGACTATTGTTTGTGAGAAAAAAATTTGTTGAATTATTGGTAATCCTAATATTTGTTATATCAGCAGATTTGTTAAATCAGCAAATTAATGACAATTACTTATAAAAGTTTAACGTTTGAGTTTGAAAGTCAAGGTTGCCAAACTAAAATTTTAAATTTGACAATCATTTACAGTCACCCGGTACTTACGTTTTTACTTGAAAACATGCTTTTTTGGTTTGTTTTAGCAAAATCTTGCAATGAACAATATTTTATTATTATTATTATATTATCATTCATCAGTTTCTCAAAAAATTAAAAGTTTAAACAAAAACCGTTTGGTTCCATACTTTTTGTTGACCTTGTATATTTTTTTTAATTTTAAGATACTGATAGACAAAAGCAAATATCCATCATTGAAACGATTACCTAAAGTGAAATATGGAACTTATTAAGAATATTGTGTGAACTGAAGAACTTGAGACAAAAAGTTTTCTTGTAACGTGTTTATGTACGTATTTGAATTAAAAACGGCGTAAATTGGCTTTTTGCTTTCCGTCTCCAAATTTTATTATACTCTTTTTTGGTGTTTTTTACTTCTATCTTCCCTTCATTAAAATATAACGAAAAAAACAGTCTTTGGCAAATATGGAGGTAGAAAAACCACAAATGTGCGTTTAGCAGCAGTTAATTTATTGACTTATTTATTAGCGTGAGATACTCAACTACCGGGCAATGAAGATTGGTCAGATCTTCACAAGAGAAAACAATAAAAACTAAATTAAGGCACAAAGAATTTTGTCCAGATTTTAGTTCGTGTGAAGGCACGAATAACAGTATGAGAACAAAGGAAGCATTTCTAACAAAAAATTCGTTTCAACAAGTATCACATTCAAATACTGAATCAGAAACTGATCAGACTATATAGTTATTTGCTTTAAAACATAAATAATAAAGTGGAGAACAAATAACAAATGCTTGTAAGTACCACAGTTACATTAAATCATGTTCGATGAGATGCTTGATTTGAATGTTTTTGCGGCAGTCGTCAAAGACCGTTTGACACACATCAAAGACTCTTTTGACGTCATCAGTGTCTATCGCACAGGTGAAGTGGGGGTAAAACCGGTGTTGCAACGATTGATTACTCAATCTGCTGATTTTCTGAAAGCCACTAATGAAAACACAGAAAATCATCAAAAATACAAACACACCTCAAACTCGTTTTTTATAAACTGTTTGGCTCGGTTCACTTCGGGATGCTCCCCACGTTCCACTTGCGACGGTTTGAAGTCTTTATATTCAGGAAAATAGTCCTCGAGCTTACTTCGACCTGCAAAATTGGCCCCGTTAATTGAAACGAATTTTTTTTTTTTTTTAAATTCAACCTGAAAGGATTTTTTCCCTGAAGAGATCCTGCTTATTTAAAAATACTATGACGGAAATGCGACACAACCACCGATTGTTCCACACCACTTTAAACAATTCGAGACTTTCCTTGAGACGGTTTTTGGACGGATCTTCACGCAAAACCAAATTGTAGGAACTACAAGCTGTGACGAAGATGATGGATGTCACGTCGTTGAAGCACAAAAACCACTTGCGGCGCTCGTCCCTCTGCCCACCCACGTCTATGATCCTAAAAAAAATTATTATATTTTATTTTTTTTAAGAACGAAGCGTTACGGGAGTTAGGGACTAAAATTGACAAATCAGGTTGCTCTATTTCGCACCACGGTACAAGCCTTATTTACATTGAACTATAGTGCGATCAAAAAGTCTTTCTATCAAGTAGGCGTCCTAGTTGAGGACGTATGTTGCATGGCAGTTCGTATGTTATCTGGATGTCAAAAATTATCTTATAAAAATTAAAACATTGAGCTAATTAAATTGAATTATTCTATGAAACGTCTCAAAACAAACTAAAATTAGATTTTGTTGGTGTTTATCCATAAAAATCGTTCACCACGGTTTCCTGTTATAATTTACATAAAAATTATTTTGACACTTCTCATTTGTCATTGTGACATTCTATCTTCTACAGACATACGTTTTAAATTTCTACGCTTGCTTGACAGACAGACTTTTTGATCTCACTGTACAATTACCAAATATTTTTTAAAAATCTCTAATCTTTGACATTATTTTTGAAATATGTCATAATTTTTTAAGTTAAAGTGTCGTTTGTTGGTGCACGATTTCAGCATTTTGGTGTAGCATAATGACAGAACAACAACCAGTTCTGTCGAGAAAGTTTAGCTATTATGTATTCCAAAAGAAAATTTAAGTCCTTTTTTATGTTCTTGTTTTATTTTTAAGTAAACGTAAGATTCATCGAATGTTGTTTTTGTTCTTAATTGAATTTGTAGACACTAATTTATAGTAAAATGCCAAAAAACAAATAACATTGAAATTTTCTTCGTTTTTAAAATTACCCCTCTACAGTCGGCAACCAATTTTACACAATTCTAAGAATTTTATTGTGTAAATGGGGCGGCCGATGCCGATACCACCTACTTCGTTCTAAAAAAAACACACTATACGAAAACACACGATCAAAGTGATCTGTGACTTAAAATTAGGTTGGCAACATTGAATTTCTACTCAATCACCAACACCATTGAAGCAAATTTCCTATCAGAGTGACCGGTGACTTTGACATTAAGTTGGTAACACCGAATTATTAGTGATTGTGTCAAGTGACGTAAATGACAATTAAACTTAATTTTATGAAATTTTTAAACTTACTGAAAATTAATTTCTCTAACTTGGAAGGAAAGTTCGTAAATACCCGTAGTGAGGACCCTGCACCTTATAATATCCTGATCTGTGGGCATATAATCGTCTCTTGCAATTTCATCAATCTTTTCTAAAAAATACTTGGCGCTGTCTACCAACTGATATTCATTACTCCGTTCAAAAGTGGCCTAGAATCATAATTTTAGAAAAAGTTACTCATGATGTGGGGGGATTTATGCCTGGACTCCTTTATCCTTCCACAAAAGCTTGGTAAACTCGTAGAACTGACTCGGATAGTCAAAATCCTGTTTAGTTGCATTATCTAGAACCCACGCAGCCATTGCCTCATGCCTCTCGTTATCTAATCTGACTGGTGGGCTGATCTTGGGCATTGCCCCAAGTATGCTCTAAAACAAAAAATGGGGCAAATCAGCCCCAATCGCCCCCACACCCCATACTTACAACTATCGCATCGACGAGATTATTCCTAATATCGTCCCGTCTTTGTCTCCTAACCGTATCACTGAATTTATCAACGTGAATGAGCTGCATCTGCTTGATAATCGTCGACTTGCCCGATTCGCCGGCCCCCAACAAGAGCAACCGGAGCGTCTTGTTGAACTCCTCCTTGTCTTTAGCAATCTGCTTGTCGATGTCATTGCTACGGCGCTTCTTGATCAAATCGTCGGGGTTTAGGGGGTACCAGCACGGCAAGAATGGAAACAAACACGTACAATCCTGTTTCTTGCTAGTCATAGTACATTCTGAATCTTAAATCTAACTGATTTCGATCGTATCACTTCGCCACTTTTCTCAACAATGCAAATAACAAACCGAAAACAATAAACAAATAAGTTAGGTTACTTGACGTGTCAATGTGACAGTTGACGCAAAAAATCCCTAGAAATTCGGGGCTTGGTTTCATGACGGGGGCTGCCACAGTTTTAATCAAATGCAATTATGTAAACATCACGCACGATCTTAATGAACGACAAATATTGCAGAAATAAGTTAGGTCAATGCGACAGTTGGTAGCAGAAAAGGCCCTAGAAATTCGGGGGAAGGACAGGATTTGGCCTCGCGACGGGAGCCGCCAGTTTTAATTAAATGCGCTTGTGTAAACATCACGGGCGACCTTAATGAAAGGCAAATATTGCAGAATAATATATTTTGTAAGAATTAAGTAAACATAGCTATGCTCTATATTGAAACAATCAGAATTTAAGTACAGACTAGACAGAATCGATGCACAGCATCGTAACTAACAGCAGTCCATTACATGGGTACTTAACTACAAGCTATAACTATGTATATACACAAGTATTCGCAGTTAATCAACACTTTTGTGCCCTTTAATTGGACGCAAAAGTGTCAACTGAATCCAAACTTATAAAAATGTTAAATATGTTTCAATTAATTGATTAACAGGAGCTGATAGCTCGATAAAAACCCATGTTAAAGATATTAATTCGGGATTATTGCTAAATTATGCAAAAAAACAGCAAAAACGATTAAAATGCAGCATACACCAAACGAAACAGTAATACTGTGAGAGAAAAAACAGATCCTCAGATACCTCAACGTGCTTATTTAAGGAAAACAATGAAACATTACATTTAAATATTCAACATTGCTAAATTCATCACTGATTATGTTTATTCACATTACACGAATTCGATAACATGATTAAAAGAAATATTCGTATTTTAATAAGCATATTGTTATCACTTTCAATCGAGTAATATTGATCCACGTAGAAATTCGTTCTACTCCAAAGTAAAAAAGTTTAGTCATCTAATTACATTAGAACACACAACGATTCGAAAAAGTGACATTTGTGAAAATTCCAACACACAGTTCAGCTCTTATTGTCTTAATTTTTGTCAAGTGAAACGTCTGCTTAGGCTCTACGACTACTATGAGATATACGTTGTCAATAACTGAAGTATAGTTATACACAACGTATAAATTGACACATTTATGTCTCTTACCAAAACTTGCAGTTACCGGAGATCAAAATCACGTAAAAAGGAGGGAATGATAAAAACCAATCAAATACTGATTACACGAAACACTATCACTAAAAATCGCATGACCTAGGCGGCCATGTCAATCATGAAGGCAGTTATTGGTTTCATTTGAGCAAGTCACAATTAAACTCAAAAATTGGATTCAAATAAGACTAGACCCTCTATTTTAATCTTTAAGAAAAAGAAGAGTCAGAATTTTGACGACGCTGCTGCCACCTACTAAGAAATGACCTTTTCAACACTCAAATCTGTGTTTCAGGATGCAGGCGCAAAGTAAAGTGAAACTTTTTATTTTCAAATATCACAATAAAATTGAAACAAGTATCCAAAATAAAAATTGGTGTTTGTGTCTTTTCTTGACGAGATTAAGATAAGGGAAGATAGAAAACTTAGTTTTGATTCGATTTGAATCCAATAAGACGGAATAGTCGTTCGTAACTGCGAGTTTCGATTGTTCGAAACAGTTAAAAATTGAGTGTTTCATTCACTCCACAAGCCGTTGTTCGAGCAAAGCTGTATGTTGTGCCTCATAGCAGATTAGTTCTTCCCAATTTCTCACTCCTATCTAAAAAACAAACAAAAAATTATCACAACTCAAATTTTGGTACGTCAAAAGTCGCTTTGATTCGAATTATTGTTCGTGTCACACTAAGGTACTTCCCCGATTCCCCCAAAGAATTAAAATGCTATGAACGTGTAAATTCGCGCGCGTCATTTGTGTGATTGTGAGGAATGTATATTCACGTCAACTGCGATTTTCGACAGTTACACAGCCATTTGATGATGCGGGCATTGCGTTCGACTATCGAAGGCGGCTCGCTGGTTCTGAACGACGAGGGGCAGTAATCGGCGTTGTCGAGGGGCCTGCTGGAGTCCACCGTCGACACGTCCGAGAAGAAAACGGGGCTCTCCGACGACCGGCTATTGGTCAACATCTCCTCGTAGCTGTCGCTGGTCATGCCGAGATGCTCGAAGAACTGCTCCAGGTGGCTGGTGGGGGGCTCAGGGGGGCGCCAATACCGGTCGCTGATGTCCGATTTCGAGCGGAGAATCGGCCGATCGCGCTTGTACCGAAGGCATTTCTGACGCTTGAACGTCGAGGGGGGCGGGTAGGCTTGGCGGGCGCGGCAATCGGGCTCCTGGCAGCAGTAGTACGAACTGCCGCCGCTGTGCTGCGTGCTGGAGCCCGAATCGCGGCGACTGTCCTGCAAAAACTGCAAAAACGTTAGAATTAAGATTTCTAGATTGAATTTTTTGAAGTTTACCTGGCGTGGGGGCGGCGCCGGTTCGCTCCTCTGCGTGTAGTGGCCGCTGGAGCCCCCGCTGTCCCTATTGGAAAGACTCTTGTTGCTACTTTTATTCGAACTAGGTTCAGCTCTGCAGTGGAGGTCTGGAAGGCTTTTGTGACACCGTTGTGCGTATTCGGCGGGGGGACTCAGGGGTGCCATCTGTTCGACACTTAATTCCTCTGCACTATCACAAACCAGCAACTGACGTAATTTGTTCTGGAGAAGGTCGTTGCTGCCCAAATGCACGGAACGGCGGTGGGAAAGGGGAGGAAGGGATCGTGAGGGAGAAACGGCCATATCTGGAATAAAACAAGAATTGTTACTTTATTCCTTAAATTTCTAATAATTAAGTTGGCAACATCGAATGATTGGTGAACTAGAAAAGTGGATTGGTAGTACTGCACGAACTGTCAACATCATTAATAATAAAGATAAAAATGTCAAATTTATTTATTTTTATACAGGGTGATTCACGTAATTTTACGAGGCCTGCGCCTGTAAGATGCAATTAATAATACATATTCCGATACGAAATCGATTACAAATTTTGAAAAATTGGATAATCCTCTCTAGTTTGTTCACCCTTTAAAAAATTACAACGTTTTTAGTTAGTTGTTGATTAAGATCGATAAACTAGACTCATATTCATGTCGTCTCTTGATAGAACAAATGATAATCGTTTCTGAAAAACTGCAGTTTATGACTATTAATGAAACAGTGATTAGTTTGACAACTACTGTCATGGGTTTCCAAAAATTAAATAATTAAATGTGTATTTTTTGTATCCAGTTTTCTGTGACTTTTGTATATTTGGGTGCGTACATTAGGCGCTAGCTTTGTAAAGTTATGTGAAACACCCTGTATAAACTACCTGGTTAGAGTCCAATAGTTCGGTAGAAAAAAAAATACTAGAAAAACATATTTTATAATCTTTTTATTATAAAAATTTATTTAGCGTTTTTAACTCTAGATGGCAAAATCTTGCGAAAAAACGAAGTTGTTAGGTAAAAAATCTGAAAAAAGCTAAAATGACATTATTTTCAGCCTAATTCTGTAATTTCTCGGCTTGTTTCTTCAAAAAAATGCGAAATTAATGCGTTTTCTAACTGAAAACAGTATTAAAACGCTTGAACGCTCGAGAAATGCATTAATAATGTAATATTCGACTTAATTTGTTGAATTTTTGGAATGTTTTAGCAAAATCTTGCCAAAAAACTGATATTTTAGTACAAAAACGAGCTTAAACGCATTTTCGACGAAATTTAGTGGTTTCTCGGCTTATTTTTGTTTTAATTTTGCTCAAAAAACAATTAAACCAAATGAAACAAACAAAATAACATTAACATCAATTTTTTTGTAATTTTTACTTTAATTTTGCAAAATAAATAAGCCTCTGGTTCAAAAACGAAGTAAGTCGAGCGATTATATTTTGTAATCTTTTATAGCCTGTTTAAACAAAATTCTTCGAATTTTTTATTTTTAACACAAAAACGGACTTAATCACTCGAAAAAGGCAAAAATAACGTAATTTTTAGCCCATTTTGTTGAATTTTTTAACGAGATAATTGTATTTCTAGCTGAGAACTACTTAAACATTCGTAAAAAGACAAAAAAATTGACGTTTCCTACCCTTTTTAGCAAAAGCTTATAAAGAAACAAACTATTTTTAACCAATCGGGTGGTTTTTTCGATTTATTTTTGAAAAAAATTGGCGAAATAATAATGTTTCTGATTGAAAAACAAGGAAAATGCTCCAAGAAGATGCAAAAAGAGAATTACATAAAGTTGCGGTCAATTCATAGTGGCCACTTCCCTGTGTAAATTTGTAAAAATTGAGTTGTATAAATCCGACTTTAAACATCTAATTGTTTTTAGGGAGGTATCTATCAAAAATGACAATTATGAAAAAGTCGGGTTAGAATACTTCACATATAAAATCTACTGGACCTGTTACAATCACAGAACAACAATTGTTGACAGAACTTAGTTAATTCTGCTGCCAACATAGACCCAACCCACACACTAGAGTTGGCGGGCTAGGGGCTGCCAACTTTGCAATGAATTAAATGACCACTATGAATTGACCGCAACTTTATTTATTTTTGACCTAATTTACTAAGTCTGGTTGAAAAATTAGTGTTTTAATTTTTTGTTGTAACCGCAGAGTTATTGGATTGTGCCAGGTGACGGCTATGCCAGCGGTCGCCCGTCGGAAATGAATGACAATTGACTATAAAAATGTGACGTTTGAATTTGATAGTTTATGTTGCCAACTTAATTTCAAAGTCATGGGATCCTTCGATCAGAAATGTCAAAACTCGAAAAACTTGACAAGATGAATTGCACAAAAAACTAACTTTTTCGTCTATAAAAAGATTATATGTATAATTGTCAATGTTGCCAACATAATTTCAAAGTCATGAGCTACATGACAACTAATTACAATAACATTAAAGTACCATAACATTTCAAGTGCACTTTTACTTCATTTAAGCGTTTTTTACTGATTATGCCTAAATATCGTTTCTTATCGAGGCTCCAGGAAATTCTATTGCGTGATAATTCGCTTTTGAAATATTCATAACTCGCGTGTTAATATTTTCGATTTCCTACACTAGTCTCATTTTTGACATTTTTCGCAAAAAACATTTAGATTTCATAAAATTTATTCTAATTCCGAATTCCGAACTTGCCATAAAAAATTGCATTATTCATTTGCACAACTTGTTATGAAAATAACTATTGCTAACATTTCATTCGTTGAGTAGACAGTTAAATGAACTCGACTATAAATTTATTCTCAATTATGTATGATGTAGGTGTTTTGTTTCCCTTTTCACATCCAGAAACCACTGACCTTTCCCCATTCACATCATAATGTAGGTCACTCACAGTCTATTTTTAAATGCCCCAATATTAAAAACCAAATTTAATTTGTTTTCAAAAAAAAAAGAGAAATATTATCGATGGATAATAGATGTTTAATGGGGCGGCAGTCTTTTACTGTAACCGAACAAACAATGCTATCTCTTTGTTTTTATTTATAATAACTAAACCGACGTTTGTCAATAACCTATTAATATCTTATCACTGTCAACATTTAAACTAGCTAAACTTTGTAACCTTGACCTATTTTATAAAACTCTTACAACTTACATTTTCTAATTGATAGAAATTACAATTTCTTTTTTCAACCTAAACTGGAATTTTTCTTACTCTGAAAAACTAAGCCATCACTTACGATTTTTACGCTTTCTCTGAGACCAATTATTATTAATTAGAATTAAATTTTATATAAATTTTATAAATAAAAATAGAAGTATTAATGTAGGTATCAAAGTGGCCTCTGACTTTGGAATTAAATTGGGAACATTGAATAATGAGACTTTTTATAACGCGTGATTGTAAATAATCATGACATAAAATCTGTTGACAATAATTGGTTTAATTGTTGTTTTACCTCCCCTCGCAAATGAATGACAATTAACTATAAAAATGTGACGTTTGAATTTGACAGTCAATGTTGCCAAATTATGATTTCAGATTAGTGGCCTACTTGATCATTATTAATTAACAGCATTATTATTAATAATTATTAAACTATTAAAAGCATTTTATTTATATTCTTTTCAGTAAAAGGTTGTTTTTGTGCTTATTGGTCGGCAAGAAAATTTAAAACGTCAGTTTTAAGTACAGAAAAAAGAAAAGTTGTGGGTAGCAAAATCAGCATTTCGCAATTAACAGTTCATTGTCTTTGGTGATTGTTCCAAACATTTCTGGGAACCCCCGATGACCCATTTCTTAACTTACATTGGGGCAGTGTGGTGGGCCTGTAGTTGGTTCCGTGTGCCGCCACGTTGACCGACTTGCTCCTGTTGTAGCCCCCATATCCGGGCCCGGGGTTGGGCAACCGCGTGGGAATCGCCTGTGTGGTGTCCCTCACAATTTCCGACTTCACATAAAAGGGCTTACTCTCCGCCAGGAGCTCCACAGCAGACTTGCGTTTGGAGCGCATACTCTGCGACTTGGTCAAAGTGGGATACATCATGGTGGCCATCGCCGAGGCAGTGTCTCATTCACCGCAAGACTCCTTCACATCTCTACACCTGCAAGGGGCGGATTACCGCACTGAAACACAGCGAGTGGCGCAGCCCTACTTACGCGACTCGGCGGCCAGGGCTGTGTCGCAGGTGCCCCTCGTGCCATTTATCACATAATTCGTCCGAAAATTTGTTGTTAATTTGCGAATTGCACCACTGACCGAGTGGTCGGAGCCATTTCTTCTCCCACAGCTGATTGCGTGTCGCACATGCGCAGGTTTTCGAATTTGAAAATACTCTTCCTGCTGTGTGGCAGGAGCGGAGCAGGGGCGTCGTCTGCAAAAATGACGCCGATGGAGGGTGAAAGACAGGGTATTGTGGACAGCAGGGGCGATAAGAACGGATTGTTTTTCTGTAAAAGGGACGGCTGACAGCCCCACAATGCCTATTGTTGGGCGCAAAGCGGAGGCGGCGAGTCCAATGCCATATTTCACACGTGGAGACCACCTGTATGACACAGACTCGAAAAAAATCGACTTTTCAAGATAAAATCCACTTTAAAATTAATAATTTAGAGAAAATTCTAGAGCATGTTCAAAAGTTACCAGATTTCTTACACCAGTGGCGGACATCAAATTTATAATGTTAGTTTAAAAAATGTCAATGTAAGCCACGCTTAATTGTCGTTATGATTGACGTTTGAAACCAAAATTTGAAAGTTTTACTTGAAATTTATTTTTGGCGTCAATTTTCCGAAAGAATAATGCCAGCAATACGTGTTTTTATATAAGTTCAATAAATTATTTTGATGTGTTGTCATTTTTTCTTTAGCTATCAGGATAAAAATTACAAAAACCCAAAGTGAGGTTAGTAGTCTAAAGCCCGTTTTACATTTTTTTCTCAGTTGAATGACAAATCGTCCAAAATTCCGTGATCGCTAGTGTATTTTCACCACATTACAAGATTATTATATGATTTTTTTATGAATACTGTCGAAGATTTATGTTTTTTACATAAATCTCGCAAATCTGCTCAAAAACGTATTTAAACGTTCGAAAAATGCAAAAATAGATAACGCTATTTCATTTAGTCTAATTCTATACTTTTTTGGATAGTTTTTAATTCAATTTTGCGAAATACCGGGTAACTATTAATGTATGTGACAAAAAATCTAGAAGTCTAAAAGTCAAGGTTGCCAAGCTAAAATTTTAACTTTGACACCAACTTGAGGTAAATAATGACAATCATTTACAGTCACCCGATATTTACGTTTTTATTTAAAAAACATGCTAAAACACTTGATAAAGTCAAAAATAATGACTTAATTTGATGTTTTTTGCTTTGTTTTAGCAAAATCTTGCAATTAACACCATATTTTGTTTTTTCGTCATATTTTTTTGACAAAATTTCACTCAAAAAGAGCTAAATCAAATGAAATAAACGAAATAACATCAACTTAGGTTTATTTAGCTGTGTTTAAACATGATGTTTTTACAATATCCTGCAAAATAAATGAATTTCTGATTCAAAAACGAATCCAAAAACCAAGTCAAACTCAATAGAACAAAATAAACTCTAGCAACAAAAAAAATTAAACTTAAAATCAAAGACAAGCCTGAAACAAAATCGAACGAGACACGCTAAAATGATATCAATTTCAATCTAATTTAATAATCTTTCAGTCAGTTTTAACAAAAATTTGAATGTAATTTAAAAACGTGCTGAAACACTTTAAAAAGCAAAAATAACACTAGTTTCGGCCTAATTTAATAAATTTTCGGTTTGTTTTTAAGGAAATTTTGCAAAATAGCTCCGTTTTTGGTTAAAAACATATTAAAACGCTCAGAAATGAACAAAATAATTTACTTTTTGACCCATTTTAGCGTGTTTTTTACCTTGTTGAGTGAAATAACTAAAATAATAAAACTGTCTCCCGATTTTTCAACTTGTTTAAAAAAAATTAGCATTTGAGTTTCTGCTTGTCTAAAAAAACGTGCAAATAGCTCAAAAAAATAGTGTTAGTTTTGACTGAATTGATAAAAAAGTTAATTTACCAACATTTGGGCGAATATTCGATTAAAAAAAATATTTCAAAATTCATTAATTCTCTGCTGAAACTACACACATTTTAAAAAAAAATCATCAGAAATTAAACTAGTATAAAAATCACCAGATATAGTAAAATTTCACCAGACCTGGCAACACTGATTTTTCTCCTCAAGTTGGCGTCAAATTTATTTTAGTTTGGCAACCCTGACTTTCAAATTCAAACGTCAAAGAAGTCATGAATAGAGCAAAAAGTGAAATCAAAAATGTATAAGATATAAAAACTTTATTTCAAAATATGTATTCTATGAAATAAAATCAGTTTTCTTATTTACATATTAACAATTATCACAACCATTTCTATCACTATGCTAGAAGTTTTAAGAAACTTTCTGCAAATGGCATACGAATTGTAGGTCCCACACTTTTATAATCTTCTATAAAAACAAATTTCTGATATAAAATCTGTTATTCTAATCTAAAAATAAAAATTTTCTTTTCTCCGACTTGATAAGGTTGATAATACTGCGAATCTTCCACCCCTCTTTCGCTACGCCGCGAGTAACGTCTGAGGTAGTCGTTTGAACCCCCGAATTTCTTGCTGCAAACTCAACCAATCGATGGCTTTCTGCCTCAACGTCTTTTCCTGCAGCAAAACCCTCGCAGCTTCGTGAAACTTATCTTCGTTTCGTCTCAAATACATCACAACATCTCTCAATAATTGTTCCACTTTCTTCGGATCAATTTCAGCAATGTCCAACATTTCGGTGAGGTAGGGGTTGAACCTGTAGTAGATGCTCGCTGGCAGCAGATCCGACAGCATGGTGTGCACCCCTTCCGTGTCCGTGGCGCTCTCAATAATGGCATAGAATTTGCTCTTCCACGACGAGTTTCTGACCGATTGCTGGGTGTTGGGGTCGATGGGCAAGGGGATGGTACGGCCGGTACCAAACGATAACACGCACTGGATGGGCACTTCGGGCCAGAGGAGTCTCGCTTCGTGGATTGCCACTGCTGTCGGATTGTTGAACAAAATTCCACCGTCCTGAATAATTTTAAATCTATAGTAAAATCTGTTTTTTTTTTAAATGGAAATGCCAAACAGTCTTAACGTTGGCATCACTAGTAAATTCATTCATGGTAATTTTAATTAAGGAGGTTGGCAGTTCCGGTTTTTTGAATTAATTTGAAAACAAGGCCATTAAACGTCAACACAAAAAATCGTCTAAGAAAATTTAGAGACGAAACACCAAAAAAGAAACAAATTCGGTACACTAACAGTTTTTCGAAATTTGGAAACGAATAGTTCGCAAGCAGGAAGTTAGAAAAAGGGCCCGTTAAAATGTAGACGCAATTTTTAATGCAGGTTTGCTAAATATTCTTAATTTTTAGCAAGAAATCGACAAGAATACAAAATAAACATGAATGAGAAAGAACCTCGGAAAGAACGCGATTAAATTAGTGTCTTGTGCATCGTTTTTTGAGGAAAAAAGTAACAATTTTGAAACTAAAGCTGAAGAAGAATTTATAAAATGCATCAACTTTGAGCTCATTTCAATAAATTACACAAAATTTATTGCCAATCGCCATAATACCCACTTGTATCTTTTGATAAATAACTTTTTTCTGTATATACATCCTTTTTCTTCAAAGTTTTTGTAGCAAGAATCTCATTTTTGTCCACAACATTGTACTTACTTGCGGTGTGTTTCTGTCAAAATTATTAGCACTGAATTCTGTCTTTAGACCTTAAGTAATGATGTATGTCCTTAGATATTCAATTATAGCGCTTTCAAAGAGCAAACAGGCACACAAGATTCATAAAAGTCAAAATTTTGACATCTCAATTGGAACACAACCATAATTTTTTAACTAAATTTCTAGGGACAAAAACAAAGAGCAAACAAAATTTGTGGCTATGGAGACAAGCTGCTACCAATTTTTTCATCAAAATTTTGACTTGGTAATTTCCATTTAAAAAAAAAACAGTCTTTATATTACATGCGAGGTGGGAAATGTGTCATTAATCCGAGGGCTCAGATATTCCAAGGAGTATAGACTTTTCCACCGAGGTTTGTATACTATTTAATTCACAATCACAATTTTTTTATAATCAAATATCGACTTTTCTGTCAAAGTTGATGCATTATTGACATAGTTGCAATGACAAATTGAATTTTTGACATTTGATGGTCTCATAACATTACTTCCCGACCATGGGATGTAACGACAAATTTCCCGAATTGAATAAATTTACTTTATAAAAACCGTTGTCCCTACCTGATGCAACATGTTTTCTAATTTGAATTCCTCGAAATATGTTGGGGCCGCGGCCGATGCCCTCACTGCCTCCCATATCAAGTGTTTATGGTTCCCCATATATTGTGATTGCACACGGCATGGCAAAGAGTAGTTGCGAAAGACATAAGCTGACAATCGTGACTGATTTACCACCGCTGATAAAACACAAAGCTGAAAAAATGTAAATAATTTTTGTAAGTGCAATTACCATTTCTGTTCAAAGTTTAGTTGGCGACAATGAGTAACTTGATTCGGCAACATTGACTGTCATAATTTTATAGTCAATTGTCAAATCTGGTGAAATTTCACAATGTCTGGTGATTTTTATGCTAGTCTCTGGTGAAAACTTTTGTCAAAATTCTAATACCGTGCGATCAAAAAAAAATAAATTTGAGTAGGCGGTGATTAAAGTCCTTCAGATGGCAATTCTGATTTTTGACGTCAAATGTCAGCGAAAACTGACAAGTTTGCATTTTATTCGTTTTGAGTGAAATACTGTTCACTTTAGAGCAGAACATTTTTATTGTTGCAAGTTATTACAAAAATGGTCATTTTCACTTCCAGTTTGTGTGGAAAATTTCGTCTTGCCAACTGTAGAATAGTAATCGTCCCCTACTCTACTAATTTTTTTTTTGATCGTACGGTATCTTTAATCGAAAATTGGCCCAAACTTTTAGTAAAATTAACTTTTTTGCGAAATCGTCAAGAAACAAAATTCGATTAGATTTTTTAATTATTAATAATATAACATATTAAGACAAAAATCATGACATTGTTTTTTGCATTTTTTTAAGCATTTTGCATGTTTTTTTGCTAGAAACTCAATTATTTTGCCAAATTTCTCCAGTCAAAAATTTCCAAACTAGTAAAGAAAAAAATACTTTTACGACTATTATTTGTTCCTTATGAGACACGATGTCATAAAATCGCTAAATTTGATCGAAAAGTACATTATTTTGTCCCTTTCGGAGTGTTTTAGTTCATTTTGTTAACCAGAAACAATACTATTTTGTAAAATTTTATTAATAAAAAGGAACCAAGCGATTCACCAAATTAGCCAAAAACTAGTGTAATTTTTGCATTTTTAAAGTGTTCAAGCACGGTTTTGAAATACACATTGCTGAAATTGCAAAATTACCAAATTAGATTGAAATTAATGTTATTTCAGCTTGATCTTGTCGAAACATGCCCGAAAATTACAAAAATAAATCTAAACTAATGTTATTTCGTTTGTTTCATTCAATTTAGCTTGTTTTTGAGTGAGATTTTATAAAAAAAATAAGGTAAAAATACAAAATTTGGTCGAAAATGACGTTACTTCACCTTTTTTAAATTTTTGAACACGGTTTTGAACTAAAATCTCAGTTTTTTCCGAAATTTTGCCAAAAACACACCCAACCAAGTCATTATCTTTGCCTTTTTCAAGTGTTTTAGCATGTTTTTCGGGTAACAACGTAAATATTTCGCAAAATCTCGTTAAAACAAGCCAAAAAATTAGAAAGTTAGACCGAAAATATTCTAATTTTTGTATTTTCCGACGTGGGGTAATTTTAGCACATTTGCAAAACTTACGTAAAAAACGTAAATCTTTAACAGTATTCGAAAAGTTTAAATATGGCGACTTTTTCAGTTCGAATCTGGTAAATTTAATTTTTTTGAGTTAACAACACTGATTCATTTTTGACTGGACAGCCGCGGGCATAACCAATCTGACATAATTATTCATTGTTGCCAACCTAATTTCAAAGTCACAGCCCACTTTGGATTTCAAAATTGCTTTAAATAAAACTTTTTTTGGTTAAGTTTGTTATATTGACGTACCCTTGGGCATTTCGAGCTTCTAGACGTTGAAATGAGCGTCTGACTGCCAATTTGTTCTTGGAGAAGCTTTTCCCACCGCGCTGTGTCGTAATAAGAGTGGCTCCACACCAAATTGCTTGTGCCTTTTAGAGGGGATTGAGTAAAAATCTGAATACTCAGATTCTTATAAATTTCGGAAATTTCATCCAATGTGTAGCGTTTTACACCTAGAAAAAGTCATCAGTTTCGGTTAAAATCAAAATTAAAACAGGCATACCAACTAAACTTGCAATTATAGCACCAGTACTGACACCACAAATGAGGTCAAACATTTCGGATATTCGTTTTCCGGTTAATTCTTCCAGTTTTTTCAACATTTCTATTACAAGTATTCCTCGAACGCCGCCTCCGTCTATGGATAAAATTCTCACCCCCTTTCCAGAGACAGGACCGGCGTAGCCCAACAAGGCAAGGGCTTCATTGACTGCGCCAGTAATTGTGTCATTCACATTTCCGTTTTTTATTTTTAATAATAAAGGAATTGCGTTGCTCTAGAATTAAAAAAATATCAATTTCAGGTCAATTTTTAACAATTTGCGTTACCTTAACTGCAAAATGTTTAGCTTCAGGGTATTTATTGAGATGGGCATTTAAGGCTTCAGTTCTGTTCAAAATCGTTTCCCCTGATTTGGCCGTTGTCAACAAATCTAAAATTTGATGTGTTCGAGAGGCTACCGATTCCTAAAAAAAAATTTATACTATTTGTATAGCTTCAAGAATATTTTACCTTAGTGGTAACGCTGTTCTCCTTCCATTTTGGAACAACTTTTTTCATTTCCTTGACACCGTCTTTACTAACGCTGGTGATTTCACTCTGTTCAGAGTTTTTAAAAATAGGCAATGTTAAAGAATTCAAAAATTTCGTAATATCGATTCCGTTAACTGTTGGTTGTATTCGTTGTAAAAAGTTTGTGAATTCTTGATTTAAGGCATTTTCTACAGTTTTCCCGTTTGAGAATTTTGACAATAATGTTGTTTTCAATTGATTGACTAAAGTCCACTGGGAAATGATCACGTTTTTTGCTTGGAGTTTCTGAGGGTCCACTGCGTTGGAACTATCACAGTTTAGTTGCCTAAAATTAACACCAAAGGATAAAAATACATAAAACATGATAAAATATTATAATAATAACTACAAAATGATAAATATTTATATTTTTATCTAACTTTCTTAATGATTATGCTATGAAAATCGATTAACAGATTATTGATTTTGTGTAGGGGTTGATAGAAAAAATAAATCACCAACAAAAATCAATCATTTAAAAAAATCTATTGGCAACACTGACTTGTTGATAATCCTTGTAATTTTTTACGATTTTTTATGATAATGGTAATTACCTATAATGACCTAAAATGTTTGAAAATTGTTTAATTTTGTTGCAAAAAATCATCTAAAAATAAAAAAAATGGCTGACGGCCCAATTGTATTCAATGTTGCCAGCCCGAAAAAATAAAATTCGCCGATCCGAGTTTTCTCGAAAAAGACAAAAATGACATGGTTTTTCAGCTTGTTTTTAAGAAACTTTTGCAAAATAATTGCGTTTCTCACTGAAAAACGTGTACTCCAGAAATGCAAAAAAAATATTTTCAAATTAATCTGTTGATTCTATGATTTATTTTAGCGAAATATCGCAGCTAATTTTTGTCTTAGTTTTGCTCAAAAAACACTTAAATCGAATGAAACAAACAACAAAAATCAATATCAATTTCGATTTAATTTTGTAATTTTTTAGCTTGTTTATATGAAATTTCTTGTTTTTACTTCAAAAACGTGCTTAAACATACTCGAGAAAGACGCAAAAATAGTATTAGGTATTTATTTTGACCTAATTCAAATCAATAATTGAAAAATTAGTGTATTAATTTTTTACTGTTTATAACAATTTTTTTTCATTTGGAAAGTTTTTACCGATCACCAAACAAGCCTGAAAATCACTAGATCTGGTGCAATGTCACATGAAAACTTTTTTTCAAATCACGCACTTTGGCGTTGAATTTTTCCACGCCATTATGAACAGTTTCACCAGCTCAAAAAAAGTAAAGTCACCAGATTCGAGTTAAAATGTTGAAAAAGTTAGGAACTTTACACCTACTTACACGAAATTACAAAATTACGATTTAAAATCTTTCCAAACTGTCGAAAGTTTACGTAAAAATTACAACTTAGTGATTTTTGACTCAAAATCAAATCAAAATCTCGCAAAAATGGAATTTTCGGCGTAAACTCTAAAAAAAGGTAAAAATGATGTCATTTTCGGCTTAATTTTGTGTTTCTTTGGCTAAAATTTTGCAAAATAATTGTGGTTCTAGCTGAAAAACGTGCTAAAACACCGGAGAGAGACATTAATTTTCGACTTAATTTGTTGTTTCTTTGGTTTCTTTTAGCGAAATCTTGCGAAATTCTGAGATTTTAGTGCAAAAAATTCGACCAAACTTGAAGTTTCTTTTGACTTAATTTTGCTCAAAACAGTCAAAACTTAACAAAATCGAGGGAATAATAAACAAAGTAACATCAATTTCAATTAATTTGTGTGATTTTTGGGCGTGTTTACACAAAATGTTTTGCAAAATAGATTAGTCTTTGTTCAAAAACCAACTAAATCGAGTGAAACAAGATAAAAAATAATACCGATTTTGTAATTTTTCAGTCTGCTTTAACAAGATTTGTCAAATTTTTCTTGTTTTTATCTCAAAAACGTGCTGAAACACTGAAAAAGAACACCATTTTGGCCCATTTTGTTGAATTTTTGGCTAGTTTTTAACGAAATTTTGCAATTGCAATTTTTCTAGCTGAAAAATGTGCCTGCTAAAGAATTGTCAAAATAATCAAGTATCTGGTTGAAAAGAATGGAAGATGCTCGATAAAGATGCAAAAATAATATTATTTATTTTTAACCTAATTCACTATGATTGAAAAATTAGTGTACCTATTAATTTTTTACCGTTGCCTATTTTGTTTTACAAAAGTTTTTAGAGATCACCAAACAAGCATGAAAATCAGTAGATATCTGGCAACATTGAATAATGATAACATTCTGATAACATTTTCTTAAAAAATAGAAAAAATGAAGAATTTATTTAAATTTAAATCGATTTAATGCGCACGCATCGCGCCTCATCATCAGCTGTTTTTCTAAGGCGGATGTGAGAACAAAAGTGATAATAAATCTGTGATAATAACAATGATAATTTAGCTATTTTTTTAAGTTTTAAAAGTCACATATTCAGAAATAAAATACTTCCTAGTTGATTCCTCAAAAATCGTATTTGTCTTCATTCAAATGCGCTTCATTTCTTTGTTAAAAAAAGTAAAAGCACCAAGAGTGAACGCAATAACGACCAAATTTCTTATGTAAACTGAACTCACCTTGCGGAAATTTTCCCAACACAATTTTTATACCGACTAAGGTTTTTCGAAATCGACATTTTTTCAACAAATTCACCACCGGAGTAAAAATAATCCCGTGTTCTCGAATAGTATTTTAAATTAGCTCTGACACTGGTCGCGAACAATTGCGTGGGGGTCCAATATCGTCAAGCACTTATTTTCCGCACTCGCGCTCTACTAGAAAAATCCACGATTGATAATTCGATCCCAGCCACCGTTTGATAAATAAATACTGGACAAATGTTGATAAACAAGGCGGTGGAAGGGATCGCAATTTATTGTTAGTTATAAATAATGAAAGTGGGGTCCACGAAATTTGCGTTAGTCAGAATAAACAATGTTCGTACGCAGGATTTAATACGTAACTGGTTGTAAAAGTAAACAAAGAGACACGTGGGGTGATATTTTTGAAAATCGTACGATTCTTGGCTCCGCCTTGAGTTAAATCACCTCTCACCTACTCATTCACAGAATGTTACTTTCGTTTTTGGCTGATTTGGGGATTATGTAATAATTATTCTGAATTATTTCCTGGCTTAATCACAACCTAACTGATTTCAATAAATGTAGTCAAGGTCATGGTTCATACGTTGTATGCAATGAACATTTATCAAATTTGCGTATAAAACGGATTATTGAAACATTTACGTCATCACATCTTGACGTCTTTATTTTAATTGTTATTACTTAAAAATTGTAATTTTACCAAAATCATAAAATGGATCTTTCTATACATTGTTCTCCATTAAGAAGAAAAAAATTCTTTTTCATATTCAGTTGAATCAGAAAGTATAGACAGTACAATTTTTATTTAAAAGTCATATCAGTCATTTATTGTAATCGAGTTTTCCATTAGGACTAAAAAAATGCAAAATTTCTTATCGGGTCTAGAAGTTAATAAGCTATTTTTTACATAATTATGAGTTTTCTAGACTCTAATGAAGTGATGAACTTTGAAATCAATAAATATTTTTTTATTACTGATTATTTGATTGACTATTTTGTATGTAATAGAAATTTTTGTTAATCTTTGAGTATAGGACCTAAATAATTAATATTAAAAACAATTGTGGCCTTGGTTCGAGAATGGGGAACCTTGATTTTGAAGTCTCGTATTATTGTGACCAAAATACTGTAAAAAATATCTGCCAAGACGCATTTTAAGTGACACGTGTGGCAAAACATGTGCACCAAAGTGTTGGAAATAAAAGTATGTGAAGTTTCTATCAAATTCCATATTTTTTTTTTGTATATGGTAACATGGTGAACAAAAAGCAAAATCATTTTCCTTCAGAAAATAATAATTAATTAAAATTACAATTCTCTATAACATGAAATCGTGTCATGAGATTTAAATTTTTTTGTTTTTGAGTTTTGGGATTTATTCAAAATGATGGCAATTTACACAATTTTTTTTCGATAGTTGTAGTCCATAGCTTTTAGGAAGAAAGAGTTTTTGAGTTCCATTAAAAAAAATAAAAATAAGTCCACAACTAAAAATTTTATTCTTGAAAAACGATCACATTTTTATCGTACTTGAAAATGTTACAATTATTTCTTTCCTAAAGTAATTAGTTATTTTTTTATTAACTAACATAAATAAAATTGAAGTTGTAAATGATCAAAAGTATAAATATTAAAACGTTTTGTACTTTTTTTAACCAAATTCATCTTTGATCTCGCAATTTATTTCAAGCAGACAATAACAAAATAATTTAATCCGAAATCCTTGTTTATTTTTGTACAAAGTGATAATTGTTATATCTTATTTTATCTGCAGTTCTATATTAAATTGCTGCTAATAAATGATATCATATTCTTTAGTTTCCAAGATTTATTGCACCCAAGTTATCATTTAACGTTTTGTTGAATTTTAAACAAATATTAGCGACAATATTTTATACTTAATTCTCTTTTTCTCAACGTAAATAATTTTTTTAAATAAAATACAATTAATTAACCAAATTTTCTTTATTAAATTTACAGTAACTTAATTATTGAGTTCGTATATCTGAATTAAGGATTCTACATCTCCATTAGGGTGGTTTCCACGGTCCTTAGTGTAATCAAAAAGTTTGCGTAAACCTAAAAAACATACATGAAAAATAAGAAAAAACACTTTCAGACTCACAGTTTTTATCATTATCACTCAGAAACATGATGATAGCTGAAAATCTTCGGATTTTAGTAAAATACTTTAAAAAATCGAAAACATCATCTCTTTTCTCGATAAAACACTTAGTTAAAACTTCCAAAATTTCGCTAAAAACGCCACTTTCTAGCGACTCTTTAAATATGAGAGGCAAATTTTCGGGTTTTATCAACTTTAGATACTCATATTTAAACTCAATCGTTTTCAGATGCTTCCAAGAGGAGTAAAACTGTACTGAGTTTTTAGGAGTAGATAATTCCATTTTAATATTATTTGTGTGATCTTTGTTTTCTTTAATTTCATGGACATTTTGACCACTAGGATGCCTCTCCACAATTTTCAAATCATCGGTTTTTAAAGTCATATTTGGCTTATCTACTTTTGGGAAAGATTCACTTTTCTGGTTTAGCTCACAAAATTCCGCAATTTCTTGAATTTCGATTCGTTTCAAAGGCTTTTTGGATTGTAAGTGAACAGGCTTGTTAATTGCTTTAACTGGAATAACAGACTCTGTTTCATTAACCTTATTCTCATTAATTTTGTTTTCTTGAGTAAATATATTACTCTGTTTCATAACATTGCATAAATTTTTGTTTCTGGAGGCTGTAAATTTTGAAACTGGACGTTGAGTTTGGACCTGTTCAACTTTCGTAAGTTTTTTCTTTAGGTTTTCTAGATTAGTTTTTGATTCACAATTTTTTGGTTCTAATTCTAGAACCCTTAATAGATCTGCCTTGGCTTCCTCCAACTTATTTAGGCCTTCTCTTGCTGCTGCTCTTCTTTGGTAGGCCTTAACATAAGTCTGATCCAATTTCAGTGAAAGTGTGCAGTCTGATTCAGCCTTTCCATAACTACAAACTTAGAAAATTAGAAAAATTCGGTAAAACGCCTTCCATACTTTTCAATCTTCAAATAACATAGCGCCCTATTAGCGTAAAAAATTGGATCGTATGAATATAAATCGATAGCTTGTGTGTAACACTCAATTGCCTCATTCCACTTTTTCTGTTTTACGAATTTATTGCCCTACAAAAAAAAGGAAAATAATTTTTATCAACACCAAAAAAAAAATACCTTTTCTTTTTCCAAATAAGCCTCATCTCTGGCCGTTTCATCGCACTCGTCCGTCAATTCAGACTCATCGTTCTCACTGTTATCCACTTTTTCACATTCAGCATCAGCATCAAATTTGTCCCATGCCTTATAATCAGTGTAACCAATTTTACTTTTAACTTTTTCTTTGATTTTTGTTTTTTTCTTCTTGGGCACGGTTTGGCACTCATCAGAAGGCTGAAAATCAGGCTGTAGAAGCTTGAAAAGCAAATAATAAAGATTTTACTCACTTTGGTGCCGGTTTTTTGACGAGACTCTTCTTTCTTTTTCATATCTTCACCCCAACATTCCAATTCTTTGTAAAAGTCGTTGAGGTCTGCGGCATTGTCTCGCAACTGTTTTTGTAACAAAACTGGGTTCATTTTCGATGAAATTGAAGAGAAATTGGAATCTTCGATCACACAATACTTGCACACAGGAATAAACAAATTTGACAGTTTGGAATTGTCAAATTTATGTTATTTTTTTGCCAAGAGATGGCAATATAATACGGATTAGAAACACAGACTCAAAAATTAGATAATAAAGCCCTAAATCATTTTTAGTTTATAATTTATTTAATTACAAGTAATTTTACAATATTTTACTAGATTTAGTTCTGTTAGGATTTCTAAACAAAAAAATAATCAGCTGTAAGGTAAGGACAGCAGTGTTGCCAGGTCTGATAAAATTTCACCGTATTTGTTAATTTTTGACGTTAGAACTAAATTTAATACACTATTTTTTTTTTAGATTATTTCGACAAATTAAAAAAAGTATTTAAAAACCACTTCTTAAAAAATGGTTTTTGTTTTTACAAGACCTAAAACTTTAGATTTGTGGCAAAATTTTGCTAAAACAAATCGACAAGTTTAGTAAAAAATTAATTATTAATTATTATTAATTATAAACAAACGGAAAAATCACAATATAAGGCAGAAAATAGTGCCATTTTTGCATTTTTCGTATTTTTTTAAACTGGTTTTAACCACTTTTTATCTATAAAAATTAAAAATAAAAGCTTTCAACACTTCCCAATCTTTAGTAAATTTGGCAACATGACAACTTTTTCTATTCGCATCTGGTGAATTTTGTTTATCGATTTTTTAAGCTGGCGACACTGAAGCCCAGCAATTGACGTTTAGATTGTAACAAAAAAATTAAAAATGTAAATGCTGTGAAATGTAAAAACATTTAAAGCGATGTGTACATTGCTCTGTACAGGAAAATAATTATTTTCCAATCTCCGAGTAGCAAAATTTGTGAGTAATTTCCATTTGAGTGATGATCCACTTGTGCCAGTTTGTCATTAAATTTTTAGACATGTTTATGTTAAATTTATGTTCAAATAACTTAAGAATAATGTAGTAAGGTATACTTTCACGTTTTTAGAAACTTTTGGAAGTAACATACATTTTTACAGAATTCGTGAAGCGCATTAAAATGCCTGTAAATCAGTGGAAATTTCTTATTGTCTTGAAAGATTCTCTTTCAAAGTTAACCAATGACAAGAATTTACAAAACGTTTTCGGCAAAGATTCATTCCAAGTTATTTACAATAAGTTGCCAACCGATCTTAACAACACCATTACTAAATATATTGGCCAAATAAGTCATTTTAACAGACTTGCCCGTCATGATTCTGAAACTTCTGGTAATTTACCAACAGTTTTTAAGACGAAACCAGGAATTGAGGCAAAAGTTGCCCCAAAATGGAAAAACAAGGGCAGAGTATCAAAGGTAATTGCCTTTACGTGAATGAACGACACAATTAATGTTTTTTTTTCCTTTTAGTGTAGTATATCTTCACAAACTCACCATGTTATACTATCATTGGAGTCAGCTGAAAACGAAGATGCTTTGCTTAGTAGAATTGAGGCTTTTATATCGCACCTACAGCAATTTCCTGAAGGACGAAATAGTGCCATTAGAGTAAAGTACTTTAAACTCTTTTCTATTTTATCTAATTTAATTCAGGCAGGAGCGGTACGAATTTTACTGAGAATTCGCCAAAAAGTGCCCAATAGCAACATTCAAGGCGCAGTCAGAGAGGCACTAGCAATATTGGGGTACTCAGATCCTGTCAAAGCTAATGGAATTCGAATTTTGTCAATGGACGGTGGAGGAATCAGAGGATTGCTTATTCTAGAAATGTTGAAAAAACTGGAAGAGTTGACAGGGAAGCAGGTTCATGAGTTGTTCGACCTAATTTGTGGTGTCAGCACTGGAGCCATTCTGGCGTTCATTTTGGGTATGATAATGAAATTAAGTTGGCAACATTGACTATCAAACTTAAACGTCATTCTGGCATTGCTGTCTAGCACCATAGTAGTAATTCAGTATTGCCAATAGATTTTTTGTCAATAATTTACAAATGCTAAAAATGTAAATCTTTGAAGGTATTCATCGCAAAAACGTGGACGAAGTCGCCGCGGGGTACAAGGACATAAGCATGGAGGTTTTCAAGCAATCGCCATTATGGGGCACTAGCAGCCTAGTATGGAGTCAGGCTTACTATGATACATCTCTGTGGGAGAAGAAGCTTCGTGAGCATTTGGGTAGTGATAGTCTTATTAGAACCTCGCGTGATCGTGAATGTCCTAAAGTAATTATTTTCACAAAAAAATACCATATTTGTAATGAAATTTTTTTAGTTGTGTGCTATCTCAGCTGTCGTAAATCAGTCTCGGTTGTCAGCTTACGTATTTAGAAACTATTCTCTGCCTTGGAGAGTCAAGTCGCAATATTTCGGGGGAAGTCATCACGAAGTGTGGCAAGCAGCGAGGGCATCGGCTGCAGCCCCCACTTATTTCGAGGAGTTCAAATTGGGCAGTTTTCTGCATCAAGTAGGTTCAGCTAAATTCCTGATCAAGTGTTGCCATCTGACAAAAAAAAAATTACCAGATCCAAGTTGAAAAAATCGCCAAATTTACATCTTTTTTCACTAGGTGTTGAAAGTTTACGTTTTTTTTATCTAAACTGAGTTGCTAAAGCCGAAGAGTTTGATAAAAATGTAGTTAAATATTTTTTGTAACAATTTAGTGATTTTTGACTCGATATGGCAAAGTTTTCAGCTTAAAAATCTGCTTAAACTTGCGAAAAAGACAAAGATGACATAATTTTCGGCTTAATTATGTGATTTTTCTGCTTGTTTTTGACAGAATTTTGCGAAATAATGCGTTTCTAGCCGAAAAAAACGGACTAAAACCCTTTAAGTAGTATAGTGTTTGACATTATTTGTTTTTGGTTTGTTCTCTCGAAATCACACGAAACACCCGAAATTTTCGACCAACTTTTGGTTTCTCGGCTTTAATTTTGCACAAAAACCAGTTTAATGAACAAAATAACGTTGATTTTTACCCTTGTTTGGATAAGATTTTGCAAAATAAATTAGCTTTTGGTTTAAAAACGAATTAAATCTAGTGAAATAAGGTGAAATTAACATCAATTTTGATATAATTTTGTAATTTTTTAGACTGTTAAAAAAAATTCAAATTTTTTTCGGTTTTATCTCAAAAACGTGCTTAAACACTCACAAAAAGCAAAAAGAACGCCATTTTTGGCTAAATTTGTTGAATTAATGTTGAAATTGAGTAGTTAAAACCTAATAAAGCTTAAGAGTTTGATAAAAATATAATTTTTTTATTAAAATTTAGACTTTGGACACAGTATGATAAAATCTCGCGAAAAACTTAGTTTTTAGCTTGAAAGTCTGCTTAAACTTTCAAAAAATAACAAAAATGAAAATTTTCGGCTTATATGATTTTTCTGCTTGTTTTTGACAAAATTTTGCGAGATGATCGCGTTTTTAGCCCAAAAACGGGCTAGGTAGTATAGTTTTTGACTTTATTTGTTGACTTTTTGATTTGTTCTCTCGAAATCTCACGAAACACCCGAAATATAAAACGTGCTTCAAAGCATTTTTGACCAACTTTTTGTGGTTTCTTGTCTTTAATTTTGCACAAAAACCAGTTAATCGAGCGAAATAAACAAAATAACATTAATTTTAATTACTTTTTTGTGATTTTTACGCTTGTTTGGACAAGATTTTGCTAAATAAATTAGCTTATGGTTCAAACAATGTTTGTTTATGTTTAAACAAAATTTTCTGAAATTTTTTTTTTTTGGTTTTATCTTAAAAACGTGCTTAAACACAAAAAGAACGCCATTTTTGCCCAAATTTGTTGAATTAGTGTTGAAGCTGAGCAGTTAAAGCCTAATAAAGCCAAATTTGGTAAAAATACATTTTTTTTCTAAATTTCGTTTTTTGACAAAAAAATAGAGTTTTTAGCTTGAAAATCTGCTTAAATTCACGGAAAAAAACAAAAATGAAAATTTTTGGTCTAATTCTGTGATTTTTCGGCTTGGTTGTAAGATAATTTTGCGAAATATTTAGCTGAAAATCGTGCTAAAACGCTCGAGATATAATTTTTAGGTATAATTTTCGACTTTTTTTTGATTGTTTTAGTGAAATCTCGCGAAAAACCTGAGATTTTAGTACAAAAACGTGTCCAAAAGCATTTTCGACCAAACTTTGTGGTTTCTTGATTTTGCCCAAAAACTAGTTGAATCGAGTGAAACAAACAAAATGACATCGATATCAATTTTTTTTGTGATTCTTAGGCGTGTTTGGACAAGATTTTGCAAAATAAATGAGCTCCTGGGTCAAAAACAAAGTCGGTTGAGTGAAAAAAAAATTCTAATGTATTTTTTTTGTTTTTATCTTAAAAATATGCTTGAACATTCAGAAAAATGGATAAATTACACCCATTTTTGCTTTGTTTTGTTGAATTTTATTGAAATTTTACGAAATAATTGTATTTCTAATACAAGGCAAAAGTAAATTGTCATTTTATCTTTTAGAAAAACAAATAGAATTTTTTAAACAAATTTTGGTAGTTTTTCATTTTTGATATTTTTTTTATTTTCGTAAGAATTTGGCGAAATAATCTAAATTTTCATTGAAAAACGTGTAAAAAACCCGAAAAGGTAGCAAAAATAGTACCATCTATTTTTGACCTAATTTATTATATCAATATTTGTAAAATTGGTAATTAAGTTTTTGTTGCAAAATCACTAGATCTTGTGAAATTTCACCAGATCTGGCAATAATGAAATTAAGTTGGCAACGGACTGTAAAATTGCGATGTTTGTCAGAGTCAGTGATGCCAACTCAATTTCACACTGGTGTGAGATTTGCGAGCATGGTGTGGCGTTTGCAGGATGGGGGCATTCTAGTTAACAATCCGACTGCAGTGGCTTTGCATGAGGCTAAACTGATCTGGCCTGAGACTTCCGTGCAGTGTGTTGTGTCGTTTGGGACAGGAAGAACGATTCCTTCACCTGGTGATTTTCAGAAAGAGTGTGAAGATAGCACTAGCAGTACCTCATGGGCTAGCAAATTTTATCGAATCCTGGATAGTGCGACGGACACTGAAGGTGATTCCTGCTAAATGAAACACCTCCCGAAAATGAAATTGTTTTATATTTCTAGGCGTCCATATCATGTTGAGTGATTTGTTACCAGCGAATGTGTATTATAGGTTTAATCCATACTTGACTGAAATGATTAGCATGGTGGAGATTAATCCACAGAAATTAGAGCAGTTGCAAAGAGATGCGATAATGTACCTGAGGAGAAATGAAGACAAGTTTCAAGAAGCAGCAAAAGTGTTAACGGAGGAGAAAACGTATTTGCAAAAATGCAAAGATGTGATTAATTTCAAGAGAGAATTGTACGGTTTATAAACACATGACATTGAGTTTTAATTTTATTAAAGAATAAAAAGTTTGGACCAAAGGAAATTTTCGTTTTTTTTTTTTGTAATATATTCAGTTAACACACCAAAGCGGTATTATAAACCAGAATAATAATAATTAAAAGTTTCTTAGTTAAAAAGAAGTATTTGCACAGCATTCTAAATTGCAATCAAATTTTGATTCGCGATTAATTATTATTTGATGTTTGAAAAGTAAAGTAATTGACAACTTGAATCGGATTTGTTTAGTCCTGAATTAAATTTTATTTCATCTTTTCTAAATCGATTAAACTAAAACTAAAATTTTATTTTCACTTTTAAACAAAGGTGAATTTTCGGTAAAAGTTCATGTTTGGACGTATCAAGACGCTATCTCGTAGCCAATCACATGCTAGCATCTCGACGTCATATCAGGCGAATCGGAGGATTGTTTAACCCTACGACTGTAAAGGGCGCAAAAAATGGTGAACGTGGAATTGTGTAATATTTTGTGACGTTGCGAATGGCTTGATTACGCAGTTCCAAACAAAGACTTTTTACAACAAAACTGTTTCGAAATGGGTTTTTGTGGATCTTGCCGTTTTTTGAGGGGATTATTACAATAATGAACGAATCAGTCTTAGCTTTGCTCCCATACGAGTTAATTGCATTGTAATGATTGTCTGAATAAATTTATTATTTCGTGGTTCTGTGCGAAATTATGTAGAAATAGGGGGTGTACTATCAGTGCGTACGTGTTGGGTATTTTCGAGTGCCTAATAGACATTTAGTAGTGCGCGATTTTTTAAATTTCGAGCTATTAGTGAGTGCCAATGGGAGAAATAGGGGAAACAATTGTGGATAAAGCGTAAGTCAACAATGTTTGTTAATTTTTTAGAAAAATCACATTTAAATTTTATTTAATATTTTCAACTGATTTACACATGTATTATACACAATGTACAAGTCGTCATATAGGTGTTAAACGACGTAAATTTTTAAATAAAAAAAACACATTGAACTGATTTTATATTTGTTAATTTTCAGTAGGTCCGTTTAAGAAGCAGAGGCGAATTGCTACAAAGGGTAGCAGAAGAAGATGGCATAAAGGTCAGTGCATTTCAATTTTTTATTTTGTTGTTAATTGCAAATGGAAGTGTGTGAATTTGTGGTTTTTGAGTGCAACAATAAGTATTTATTAAATTATGACTAGAAATTAGTTGTTTTAGGTAAGATGTATTATTTCTAAAATTCTTTTAGAATTCTTCTTTGTAGAAAACTACCAAACTAACAAAATAAATATAATAATAACAAAATGATTTTTTTTAGTAGTAATTGATCAGAAAAAGCACAGTATAAAAGACGACTTCGGCTCGTATCGTAAATTTCATCTTCATGGAAATGGCCAAGTTTCTCACTTGTTGAATAATATACTATTTATAAATGAATAATTCATATAAACCTATTTTGTTCTACGCGAGTAGTTTTGGAATAAACAATAGTTTAGAGCAAAAAAACGTGAAAATTGTATTTTCTGTGGAAAGAATGATAAAATTTGAAAGGTGTTGAAATTAATCAAGTCCTTTGAAAAATACTATTTATTTTATCACAAAGTTACTTATTGATACAAAAAATACATATATGTAGCCCTTTTGCAATTGACATAAAACCCATCAAAGACACTAAAAGTTAACATAACTAGTACTTGTATTAGTTGTTTAAACAAAAGAGCAAATTACATACATATAAATTGCACATACCGTCAATTTCATTAATCAGTCTGAGTCATACAATAAATAGGTACAAAATCTCATTCCTTAAAACCAAACAGACAAAAGTTGTTTCTGAAAACTACATTGTTGCATCAACTAAACTTTGAAATTCGTCAACTCACCCTAGACAATAGTTGTAATATACAATCAAATAAAACCATATTGTTACAATATATACTCTTATTTACACGTGTTCACGGAACACATTACTTATTCTGATTCATTTGTTTATTGGCACCTTGCACACCGTTCATTTGCGGTCGCGGAATGTTCCTCACGGGGCCCAACGTGAGCATCGTGGTGGCTCCTAGCGCCGCCACATTGCCGGGATTGCGGCCGTTGATGATGGGCAAGGCGAACATGCCATCGGGGCCCGACGACGGAAGGGGGATGTAGTTGAAAATGCCCAACGAGCTGAGTTTTTGAAAAATGCCCGGCTGCTTCAAGTTGATCAGAGGCACGCCGATCTCGCACATGCCACTGCTGGTCTTGTGGTAGTTCTGGCGGTGCTTGCTCAAACCCAGGGCATTGGGGTACTGCGCTGGGCATAGGTCGCATCTGAAGGGCAAACCCTGCCGTTGGGCCGGCTTCGGGCCAGGGCTGGAAGTCTTCATTTGCTGGGAGACTGCGGAAGCGTCGTCGGTTAAGTCGACGGTGGGAAGATGAGATTCCTTACCAGAGGAATTAGGCTGCTAGAAAAAAAGTTTTTTAACGGCCGCCATTTTGGAATTTTTTGTAGGGTTGGTATTGATCACGATCGTAAAATAGTCAAGTCTGGAAACTCCATTCATAAATACGTTTGAAATTGAATTATTTTTTCTGAATCGCGGGTGGTTATGCAGGGCAACTATACCCGTGGCGCCTTCACGTGGTGATTTTATTAATTCGCTGTTTGACAGCATTTTGGCAGCTAACCACAAAATTAAAAAGCAAATTTTTCTCTATTTCCACCGTTTCTAAGCATTTTTGCCGCTTGTGTGTTTTAGGATGGCTTTCTTTGATTTATACTTCATGTTTTCTTGGTTAATATCTTGTTTTCTTTCGTTCTGTTTAACTTGATTTTTTATCTAAATTAATTAATAAAAAATATTTTTTGGTTTTGAATTTGTCGTTCAATGTTTTTGGCAATCAAAAAAGAAAATATATTTGGTTTTTCTGTCTTGTTTACACAAAAACACTTCTGCAGATGCTCAGAATTTGTGCTGTTTTCAATTGCACGACAAAATGAAGTAGTAAACAATTGTTTTTGGGATGAAAGAAAAATTGGACCCTAGGGCAAGGGATGAAACTCTAAATACTTCAAGAAAAGACAGAAGCTGTCAATTACATTTTGAGAAAAAAGATACAAAATTAGAGAGAAAACATTTAAAAAAACATTTAACATTGAAGCATTTAATCGACTAGGGTTTTGAGTTTTGACATATTTGTATCAGTCTAAGAAGTAATATTTTGTCTTTAAAGTCCTATAGATAAATGAGTTCATAAATGTACCAAGTTTTTAAAAAAATATTTATTTCTTTACTCTGTTTACAAAGTGTTCGCTCACCACAAAAACAGATCCTGAAATTGTCTTTATTGTTACTGTGGTTTTCTTTATTATTCAAAAAATCTTACTGTACAGGGTGCTGCATTTTGGATGTCCGAATAGGGAATCTCCGAATCTAAGATGTTTAGCCAAAAACGAGTGATACATTCTGGGGCTCATTTTTTGAGAAAATAATATTGGTTAAAACCGCATCCCGCTATCGTCTCTTGTTTTCGACTTACAGACAAAAGTTGACATTTTGGCGAAATCTAAAAAAATTCATATCTTCGTTATTGTAGAAGATACGGATTTGAAATAAAGACATTATACAGGCACTTTATTTCGAAGAATTTAATAATGTAGTTAACAATTTTTTTCAGTTATTAGTTTAGCCGTAATAAAATAAGCTTGTATTTTTTTAAATGGAAATCATAGGCGGCTATGGCAATTTTGAAAAGCTTATTTTTTTCTGATTTAAAAATTATATATTTGTAACAGAATATTTTTTTATAACTATATTTAAAAAGTGAAATACATATTTTGTTTGATAATAGTTGGCCACTCCAAATGTGTAAATAATAGTCAATAAGAGTTTTGTGAACTGTAAAATAGATGAAAAAATATATACAATTATAAAAAAATTTAAAAATACGATACGGTAGAAGCATTGAACAAATATGCGAGCGCCTCAGAAAAATTATTACATATTTTTTAAAAATCCAAAAATAGGAAAAATAAATGTGTCAACAGTCAACACAATTAGAAAAAACATTTTTTTTATGATCTAACGGAGGTAGGATAACGTTTCACATAGACGGAATTTGGGTATATCGTCATTTTTGTGTCATATAAAATATATTTTATTGAAGAATTAAAGCGGCTTTTTTTTACAACACTCTATGTATCACTTGAACTTGCAATGGTAATGTTTGCTTGTTTAAAAACAAAGAAATGTTATTAGTCGCCAATAAGTTGATTTAAAATTTATTTTGCATTTTTTTCATTACTTAGTACTTAGAAAACTCTTTCATTAGTGACACTGGTTAAATATAATATAGTTTAAATCCTTTTCGTTGAATAAACATATTGTACTTTATCTGTGGCGCTTATTAAGTTGTTTATTTGCATTTTTTTTAACAATTTTGACAAGCCCACAGAAACCTAACAAATTATGACAAGCGCTAATTTAATATTTGACATTATTTACGCACGGCGACGTCATTTTTCGTTCATAAATACGCAGTAATTAACGTAGTATCCGATAGAGGCACTACGGGTATAGTTGCCCTCAAAACCTACTGAGATCCAGATTTTTTAATTCAATTTTGAAACACGAGTTTCCAGACCTGTCTACTTTACGATCGTGGTATTGATGTTTAGGAAATGTCAAACATAATCAAAAATTTGAATAAAACATACCTTGTTATTATTTTTCGCTGATGGAATAATACTAACAGCTGAATTGAGGTTAAGTTGCGGTGGAATCGAAGATGTGTTCTTCTGCGTGTCGTTCTTCTCCTTGGGCTTGGGAGTAGCCGTCACAGTAATTCCCCGAGTGGCTAAAATATTAGCTACGGCCTTAGCATCGGCTTTTTTCGGGCTTTGGGGCCTCGGTTGTGGATTTCGTACCGACAAGGTTATAGAATCTGAGAGATGCATCACGCTACTTTCCGATGGTTCAGCCGTACCACCCTAAATCAAATGATGTTACCAACTTCATAGATCAAAATTCCTAAATGACAAACCTGGACGCTTTCGATTTGTGGTAAACCCCCATCTGTATTTTTCGGTTGCATGCAAATCACTTGACAATCCTCGTCGTCTTTATCCGGCGTCAAGACATCGAGACGTTTTTTCTTCGCTTGGAGTGCTTGAATTTGCTCTTGAGTTCTTTTAACAGATGGTTGTCTCACGTGACCATTTTGGGCAACCGGCATTCTGGGTCTAATACTGCGAACGGCGGTCATACCACCGCCTCTAGGTCGTATCATGGGCGCTCTTTGCCTCACCATGGGTTGTCGTTGGTTCATGGGTTGACCAGGCATCCTTTGCGGGGGCATCTGTCGCGGCGGAGGCTGTTGTCTGGGTCCCATGGGACGGTACGGCTGGTTTTGCTGGGCCTGAGACGACGGCGGTTGTCCCATCTGGGGTGGTTGTCCCATGGGCGGCATTTGAGGTTGTGGCGGAGGTGGCATGTGTTGGGGGTAACCGGTGGCTGGGGGGTAGTACATGGGATTCGGAGGTTGGTACGGTTGATATGGTTGGGGGTACATGGGTTGTGGTGGGGGATGGTACATGTGGGGTGGTTGGTAGGGAGGGGGATGGGGCGGAGCTTGGGGGAATTGTTGTATGTTGATGAGGACGTTCTGTTGGTGCATTCCATTGCTGGTGGGTTGGAGGCGGGAGACTTGCTGGGCTAAAGCCTCCATGGGAAGACCCGCGAGGCTATTCAATGGGTTTTGGTTCCCATGGTTCTGGTTATACAATTGCTGAAAAGAAATTAATACAATTTGGAAGGCTAAAAATGTCAGATTTCTTACCAAAGCCCCCCGATTTCTATCATCTAATCGATCGAGAGGAATAAATTCACTATCACTGGTTGTAAACCCAAAATCCTTGGCCCTTTCATTATTATTAAAGATTGATAGTATGTCATCAGTCCCGGGCAATTTCAAAGGATCCTCCATCGAATTATTCCACCCATTATCCTTCTTCCCTTCCTCTCCACCCTCTTCGGGATTATCATCAGTAATCTCCGTGATAGTCAAGGGTTCCTTCAGCAGTCCCGTCGTTTTAATCCTGATCTTGGGATAATCGCCCGAAGGCTCCGGAGGCGGCGTCGGCTCCGCCCCCGGGATACTTCCGCATTCCGACCCCTCCCCCATTATTTCCTCAATTTTTGGAGAGTCGCTGTTGGCAGGCGACGCTGCCACATTCACTTCTGCAAAATTCGGCGAGAAACTCACATTTGCTTCTTCCTGCTCCGATTCCTCTTCGATCCTGTCTTCTTCATGACTCTCGCCCTTTTCTTCCTCGAATTCCGCCAGATTGTCGGTCGTTGAAGGAGAATTGCTCGGCGACGTTACGATTTCGAAACTGTTTCCGGTCTTGCTCTTGAGAGTGATTTTCAGGGGCGGTAGTTGGACGCGAGTGAGTTGCACTTGCGGCTGCTTGATGTGGTGGAAAAGGTGGCCGTAGAGGAAGTGTCTACTTGTGAAATTTATGTTGCAGTCCCAGCATCGTAGGGGGTTCAGGTCGTCACTGTCGCTGAAATTCTCTAAAAAAAATGATAATGGAAATCGGAGAGTTTAAAAAGTTAAGAAAGTTTTTGTTCAATTCTTAAACGATAAAACTCACAGATTTTCTGCACAGTAGATTAGATAGTTCAAAAAAATTCAAATTCATATTTGACATGTCTCAAACTTTCTGTCATGATTCAACGTTGCCAACTTAATTCCCATGTCACAGGCGACTTTAATAAAAAAAAAATTCCAATGATTTTAAACTGTCAAAATCACTAACACTAGGGCGCATTGTAATGTTGGTAGTATTGTATTCGCCAACTTTAATCGTCCAATTTAACGTAATGTCAAGAAAATAATTTATCTCAATCAAATCTTTCGAATTTCTGAGATTCATGTAATCAGATTCGCGGTAATTTAGCATAAGGGCAAGTTATCGATAATTTGCACACGTACTGAGTCTGATTGGATGAATCTCAGAAATTTGAAAAAATTGATTGGCTTAAATTTTGTCAGGTAAGTGTGCGGCATTATTTTTATTTCATCATCAATGATACTTATTTTAAAGTAAAAATTAAATTTGATGAGGTACAGTTAGAGACAAAATACTTTGGTCGTCAATGTCACTTGAGTGACATTAAATTATAAAGCATGCTTTAGGACTGTTAACCTTATTTTTAGCTACTGTCAATCATAGTTGACAAGTTGTACATATTTTTGATAGAAAGGTATAATAGCTGTCATTAATTTGAAATTGTCATTCATTTTAACGTTAAAGCTTGAATTACATTAAAGTGTCAGAAAAGTGACGACCACCTGTACTACTTTTTAGCGCGCATTGTCTAGTAACTTTAAATTAATTAATTCATTGATGAAAAGACTGTAGCTTGAAAATTATTTAGATGCTCAATGATTAAGCAACAATACCAACCACATGTGTGAATCAGCTAATGAAACTATCAACAAAAGTAAAATAAATCCCCTGAAAAGAGTGACCTCTGATTCGAATATGAAGTTGACAACATGGAATAATGTAGGCAGAGGACATAAAAATTGACAAGTGTCATACACAGGTCACATTGACCCAAAATTTATTATACACATGGTATTTTCTATTAATTTCAAATAAATAAATATACAGGGGTCCAGAAAAAACGTTAAAAAAATGTGTGATGTGGTTCCTTAGGTCAGTATTTGTAGAACAAAAAGTTTCATGGACCTACGTATGTACGGAAATGTTTCCTATAAGGGAGTTAGAGAGATAACTTGAACGAATCTGTAGGGAAAAAAATACGTTTTCGAAGACAAAATTTTTCGCCTTAGGTTGGCCGAGGAGGCCTTAACTAGGTAATATGTGTAGTAATTCTGATTCTAAAAAGATTCCACCAAAATTCCAGTAATTCCAAAAAAAATCCACCAAAATTACAATAATCCATCGGAAATTAAGTTGGAATAAAGTAAAATTACAGGAAATAATTTGGAATTAATCTGAAAACAATGGAGTTACGATATTCCAAATTAATTTTCATAATTCCAAAATAATTTCGATAGTTCTAAGGCTTCAGTTAAAAAAAAAATTATGTCCGATAATTCCAAAGAGAATTTCAATAATTCCAGAAAAATTCCAGTAATTCATAAATAATTCCCAACAATCCAAAGATAACTTTAATAATTCCAAACACATATTTCCAAGCTATTTCGATTAAATTCCAATAAATTGTTATAGCTAACGGCCGCTCGAATGCAAAATTTCGTAAATTTATAATTGAAAAAGACCTTTTGTGCACCATTTCCGGATAAAAAAAGAAAAAAATTGACAACACTCACAACAGTCGACTGAAAATCAGTAGACAAAAAAATAGAGCATTTATCGCAACAGTATCATTTTCTTATGATAATCTGTCAATTCAAATAAAATTCATTACTACGAAAAATGATAAGTTTAAAAATTGATAAGTTGTAATGTTACATTGCCAATCAATGTGAATATCTATCCAATTTAATAAATGCATTTATCATTTGATAAATAAACGTGATAACGCAGCGTTGGGGAGTGCAACAAAAAAAAAACACTCAAAACCTCATCAAAAGCTCTCCGCGCTTTCAAACTTGTTTGAAACTTCCAAATAACAGCAATTAATTTTGTTGGTGGTGGGGGGTTGTTATAACCGATTAGCACCGACAGCAAGCAACGTGATTAAAACAAGCACAAAAATATTTACCAGTTTTTAAGGCCGCCGCCTCGTTCGAAACATCTCCAGTAGTTTTCATTTTTGGTCTGAAACAAAAATTTTTTTTTACTATTCATCACTGTCAATCGCTGATAAATCATCATACGTCATTGTCAATCAATCGCTGTCAATGTCAACTAACCGCCCGGTTAACTGTCAACGGTAAAAAGCAAACAATTGCCGCCGAATTCGAATAAATAACTAGGCAATGCGCAAAACCTCGTTAACAGCCGACTAAATACTCACAAGCATTGTCGGCGAGAACGTGACGCATCCGATCAGCTCGAATCGTGAAGGAGAGCCACGAAAAACGCCACTTTCAACCGAATACGCGGATGAAATGAGAACACCAACGACTTTGGGGGTACAAGGGGAACAATTTGATGGTTGCCGGCCGGTGGTGGGGCAAGCGCAAGCGGAGAACCACGAGAACCATTCAAAACCACGCGGAGTGGGGGGCCGACTGAGTGAAACAGGCGGTGAAACTCCTTTGTTCGACGTGAAACACCGGCAAGCCGAGCCGACAACGGCGCAGGGAGGGGGAGGAGGGGACTAATTGCGCTTCACAAACATACCATTCGGGAGATTATCGTTATTTCGGGTTACCACTTAATTTATGCAAAGTTATCTTATCGCGTGGTACGCAGCCTTGAACTGTGATTAGATAGATAATAACATAATGCTGTTGTTATTACTGTTCCACCAATTGTGCTGTAGCATGTTTTTTGTCGTTGTTACGACTTGGTAACTTTACGAGGGGGGAGGGGGGGGAGGTCAATAACTTCTCCCCGCCGTGCCACATCGACACTCCACACGTTTCACATCGAGTTCATACTATTTGAACTCACTTTAGTTTAATTAACTCAATTCATAAGCAATTCGTTGCTAGAAGGTTGCGAAATCGTCATTAGCATAACGAGTCGTTGCGCATTAAACCCATTTAATTACCATAATTCTAATGTAAGCTGATGGTTACTTTGTAAAAATGGAAATTCCATGTTTACATCAGTGCTAATTAACCCAGGTTTCTATTATGAAGTGGGAAGCGAGGTTCGATTAAAGCAAGTTCTGTAAAGCTGTGTTGTCGCAAGTTTAAAACCGGATTTTTACAACCGGTTTATTTTTACTCGAGTGATCGTTTATTTTGGGTTCTTGTCTCCGACTCACTTTAGAAAAGGACATGTGTTGAACCTATTTTACTGAAATTTCTTATTTTGTATTTATACACGGTGACCAGCTAACAATGTTTCAATTAATGTTTTGTTTAGTATGAAATGAAAGTACTTCACATTCTATTACACAAACGCAAACGTTACAAAAATGACCATTTTTATCATTCACTATTTTACTTTTCAGCTATGGAGTAAAACTTCTATTTTTGCGCCTAAACATTTTTACTTTTATCATGACATTATTGAGATTTATATTTCTTTTTTGTCTCTTTCATTGCTTCAGAAATTTCTGGAGAGGTATACTTTGTAGATCATCAGCATTCGATATTTTGCACTACTAACTGCACTAATTAAAACACTTTCAATCCTAACGTATGATGTTTGTTTATAAGCGTTGTTATGATTTCATTAGTTGCAAAGCGTCTTGATTATTTTGTTCATTTATTTGCTAATTATAGTGCTGCTCTTTGCTCTCGAGCTAAATACGTTTGCGTATAAAATTGTGTGTTATTTGTAGTAAAGTTCACTGCGTGCGGCAAAATAAACGTTCAGCTTCGCCACATAAACTATCACTTTCACTCGTCATAACATAATATACTATTCTTGAAACTACGTTTTTTAATTTTTCAGAACCTACAGTGTGGCTCAGTATAGATTTTCTCAGTCATTATTGATTGCATTAACTTAATCAAATCAAGCATTAAACTATTCATTTTGTTAAAAAAGCTTAGAGTGATGAGCTTTTTTAGTCATATTTTTACAATAATGAACAATCATTATAAAATTATAAGAACTATAAAGGTGGAATATAAATAGAGTTATTGGTAGTATAGTAAAAATGTGGAAAATTTGCATGCAAATTCTGTGAAAAGAGAGACTTCCTGTGGAGCTGCAATAGCTGCTATGCTTGCAAATCTTACACAAACACGAAACAAGTTCATAAATTACATATTATGTACTTCAGGACACGAGGTTCATTATGTTTTATTTTGTAACATTTTTTAAAGGGTGTTTTAAATGTCTCCACAGAAAGTTATCGATTCTCAGAAGAACCATCGAGGCAAACCACCCTTATCTTGAAACTACCTGAAAGAACCCAAATTCTTTTGTTGTGAGAGAAGGCACACTGTTCTATTTATTATAGGAAATATATAAATAATAAAACTTTTAAAAAAGTGTACCTAAGTGATTTTTTTTGTTAGTTACCTGCATCCTGTTGTTTCCCCCGTGGGAGTAGCAGACAAGTTATCCAAAGAAGTATTTTGCACTGCTTTCTGATTTGCCCATCTGTAATTATATTATTTTTAATTTCTACAACATCCGGTAATAGTTACTAGTAATGCAAGGGAGGAAAGTGTATCTTTTCCTCTCACAGATGGAAGTTACTGCCAGAGGCTTGTCGAGAGCAGTAACCACCCAGGAGGAAAAAGACACCTACATCCAATGTAATTCATATATACAATAAAATTTACTAACAAATCAAAATTTTAATACAATATTCACAACATTTTAAACAAACTGCCTTGAATATTTTCATGAAAATATGTATGTTTCATCAAGAATACAATTTTTCGAAATTTTCTTTTGTTTTTGAGTTCTACCAAATTTTTTGTTTTTTTAAATGACAACCCACTATCAAACCATTTTTCTTATGAAGGTTATGATCTAAGGATTATAACTATCTACTTTATATTTAATTTAATCATAAAAAAAATCATAAATTGTAATTTTAATTATGTATTATTTTCCGGAGGTAAATGATTTAAAAAAAACCGCTTGATTCCATACTCACTCTTTAAAATGTTTTCCACTGAATCTACTCTTTACAATTTTTTATTTTATACACGCTGGATTAGAAAAAATGTCTTAAGCCATAACTTTAATTTCAAAAATATGACAATACTTCTTTGATCAAAGTTGAACAGTTTATCGTGAGCAATTTGGTGTGAGCAACTTTGTTTCAAGAAGTGTTGGAGTTATGACTTGGGGCGTAACTTTTAATCCAGCCTATGTATTTCTCAAAAATGTTACCATTTCAATTCGATGATCTTCACAGAAAGTCAAACTTTCTATGATTGAAAAAACACGTTTTTATTTTTTATTAATTCTAGTCCCATGCTACAACGAACAGTGTTAATTAGTGACAAAATACCAAAATACTTAAGTGTATTTTATGTACTTATAAAATAAGTTACCATTCGACGTATTTTATAGAAGAGCGGATATAAATGGCAACATAAGAGGTAAGCTTATAAATACGCCATTGAGATAGTATAAGTGTTGTAAAAATTATTACATAGTTACACGCGCTGCTATTTCAGTTACATGACTTGATTAAATATGTAGTACAGGATACACCGTCGTAAATTTTAATGAATTTAAACTAAATATTTGTTTAACAATAACTTAATAAGAAAACTGTGTTATACAACTTTTCTATTTTAAAATAATCTATCGAGTGATCAAGAATAACTGCTCAAGTTGCCACTTTTTTTTAAATGGTACAACTGGTGCTGGTACAAGTAAAACCATATTCAGTTTTGAAATGTTGCAAACAGGTAAATTCGAAAATGATTTTTTTCTTTTTATTAAGATTATTTACTGGGTGTTTTAGCTAAGGCTTTTTCCTCTACGAAAAAGTCTATACTGAAAAAACAATTTTAAAAAAGAACATTCTTTCATATTTTATTTTTTTCTAGAATAAAATGTTGAAATGTGCAATTTATATTGCAATTTTTATTTTTTTAAGACAACGGTACACATACTTTTGAGTTCTTGAAAATATCTAAAAAATTAAAAGGATACATAAATCTTTTATAGTGTGAAATTTTATTGTTTCAAAAGATTCTACATAAAGAAATATACAGGATGGTTCAGAACTCGCGCCTTCGAGAAAAATGCCGAGTAAGGTAAGATGTACGTACCTTTAATTCTTTTGCAAAACTTTGATGAATGGGTCCTAGAAAACGGTTTGATGGATCGATTTAAAAATTTACAGCAATATGGGGGGAACACTAAGCTGTCAAAACACGTAAAAACATTAGTCTCCCCATCAATATTAGTGAATACGCGGTGGATTTACTAAAACAACACAAAAACTCACTTTTTTCTCTTTTCTTTAAACCAATGTTAAAGGTCAAAAAATATTTTCCAAAAAATCATAAGAGGATCTTATAAGGTTTTTATTCCAGTTTTTGACATTACCCTTATATTCTCTGTGTGGTCATTGGAGGATCTTTTTTCATTTAAAGTCAGATATCTCAGCGACAAATTAACGTAAAGGGAATATGAAAAAAGCCTTTTAAAGGTGAACATACACACTATCCGGCCTATGCATTAACTTAACTTAAAAAAATCCCCACGTCCGTAGACCAAAAACAAAAAAAAAAGTTCTCGCAGTATTACTTACAATTGTGATAACCGTAGCACAGAAAAATATTTGCCAAAAGATCTCAAAACTAGAAACTTAAAGTTTTAAAATGGTTTTTTTAATCTAAATACGACCATTTTTGCGATGAGTTACAGCCTTTCAAAAATCACCAAAAAATTTAGGAAATTTTTTTGTCCCTTAATTTTTTGGAGTGGAGTATATCAATTATTATTGTCTTAAGAGTAAGAGTTTATCTTGATGTTAAGCTAGGGTTTCCTACAATATTATGACGGCGATAACGACGTAACTTAAAAACGGTCCCATATTTTTGAACTGGGATGGATTCCTAAAAGACGGTCAATACCAACGTAACATTTTTTAATAAAATGTGATCGCCACCGTTTTTGTGACGTTTACGGCACCGCTTTGTAGGAAACCCTAGCTTTAGAGAGTTTTAGATCATTCAGCTGTCTGCAACGCTTCGTGTCAACACTGTATTATCTAGATGTTTATGATAGAATATAGAAAACATGAGTCTTAACTTTATCTTGTGTATCCTTGTGGGAAAGTCAATTTTGTATACGATAAAAATCGTAATTATCGTAATCGTATCGTAATTATCAAGGCAAAAAGAAATAATGTGATATAATCACATTTCGTCTAAATAATAAAATATCTATTTTTTTATATTGACGTAGTTGCTATGCAAACAAATTGAATTTTTGACATTTAATGGTCTCGTAGTTCTTCATAAGTAACTTCCCTACCACGGAATGTAATGACAAATTTTCCGACCTCCAGCAGATTAGGAAAGAGCAAATAACTCGTAGTATAGTGATCAACAAATT